CATCATCATCATCATCATCATCATCATCATCATCATCATCATCATCATTCGTTTTATCAGCTAGTCATTTAAATAGGTATCGAAGAAAACAGTGGGAAAAAAAATTACACTTACATTTTACTATGATACAGCACTGGCATAGTCACGTAGTGTCGGTAATGTACGTGTTACGTGTATTTGTGTGTTGTCTCTCTCTTTCTCTTTCTCTCTCGTGTGCACAACGAGTAGTCCATTTAATAATAATGCGCGCGCGTATGCGTGTGTGTGTGCGTGTGAATCCCTTTCTCGCTTTTGTTTTCTCGAACAGTACACTATAACTCTATACGTTTTCTCCGAGCTCTTCCAATAATATTAATAATAGTAATAATGATAATAATAATGATAATTAATAATAATCGGTAATAATAATAATAATAAATTCATAAGAGACAGGGAAATTAATAATAATCGTTATTATTATCGTAATAATAGTATAGTATGTACAGAACGCTTTTTCGTACGGGGATCCTGATTCGGTTACGCTTCGTAGCTACATTTTGATTGAACTGTACATATCGGACCCCCGTGTTTGAAAAGCTATTTTTTTTCTCTTCAAAAATTAACACGATTCATATAAATCCTCCCATACTAGCAAATAGCAGCTTGTCGTGAATTTCTACTTTTTGGTTGCGACACCGTTAATCCGCGTTGTCTCGCCTGTCCTGTCAAGAGGAGAAAATCGTCCTCATTTTTTTGTTCTCTCCCTCATCGAGGACGACTCGCATCCAGCAGATTATCCGAGGATTAATTTCAGAATGATCCATAAAATTTAATGCCGCTTAAAGGTACAACCTTCGGCAGTCGTAGCGATCACTTAATAACAAATTATCCTAAGTTAACATTACTTAACTTTTCCACTAAATTTCTGTTCTCCCTTCCTTACATACAATGTTGTCGGTATTCTTTCGTTATTTTTTTTTTATATCTTCCCATTTCATACACAGTCCTTATTTTTTTCTTTTTGTTATATACTTTGCATCTCGTCACGATAATAATAATAGTGGTATATAATAACTGCATATAATCGCTACGCTAATAGTATTTGAACTATTAATTATTAATTAACGTTAAGTATACACAACACATTTGTACGATTTCACTCAGCCTGCACGAGCAGCAGCGGAGGGAAGGTGGTAAAGATGAAAAAGATCGTGTGTGTGAAAGGGGGGGGGGGGTGGGGTGGGGGTAGCAAAATGGTAAGGTAGGGAATTATGATGTGTGTTCTGTCTGTCTGTCATGTGTATGCGTGTGATTTTTCAGGCGAGGGCACATTAATCCACATTAGTTCCACCGGTTCTCGATTGGGGGAGGGAGCCGAGATTGAGATACGACAGTACAGAGTAACGTAAGAAGTTCAAAGCGTCCATTTGTGCCAGTTGGTAGCATCTTTCCGGAGCATCTCTGAAGCAGCACCACATCACGCTGTATCGCTCCTGCACCTTAACTCGTAGATAGAAATAGGGAACACGCGTCATCCGGATTAATTTGATCGCTGGTACTCCTTGACTCGTCGTCGTGGTTCAGTATCAGCAGCACTTGGCGTGCCAGTGCACCGGACGTAAGTAGTTGTACCTGATCTCCACGAAGCTAGGAACGCAGAACGGATGGAGGTTACGCCCTCTGCCTCATGACAGAGAGCTGGAACAGCGGACCGTCCTTCAAACGATTGACGCACGATGCGAGACCATCGTCGACCGCCCATTAACGTAGTCACTTGTTTCGACCGACTTCACTAACAGTCACTACAATCCTTCGACAAATTTCGAGAGTTGGTCTTGTGGCGTCATGGGTGTCACTTCACTGGAGTCCGTGCCACTAGTAGGCGGTGGTGCTGGAGACGGATGATGAGGCATGGCCCCCGGGTGTCCCGTTGGCGCGCCAGTGCCACCGTTCAACTGCGAGAGCATCATTTCGCTTGGCCCACCGAGTTCATGAGCCGGTGAATGGGTCGGCGTACCGTGAGGTGGATGATGATGAGGTGATGGCACCGGTCCTGATCGAGGCGAAGGAACTGGTTGATTGCGCGGGGATGGAACCGGTCGCGGAGAAGGATTTGGTTGAGGAGATCGAATAGGTGGCGGAGATCGAACGGACTGCATGAGCTGTTGCTGTACAGAGATCCCTGGAGGTCCCATCACACCTTGCGGAGAAGGTATCGGAGGTGGAGTTGGTTTTAAACCGGGTTGACCGTAGCCTTGTTCACTAAAGCCACCGTAACCTGAGGAAGAATACGCGGAATCGTGGCAAACGTTAGACCACGAACCAAGCGGCTCGACGAATCTCGTTTTGTCGGGAATCAAATGACTCTTACCGAGAAGGGACGGCCTTATTGGTCGCTGTTGACCATAAGGAGGCGCCGGTGGTTGCGTGAACGGTTGCTGCTGCTGTTGTTGTTGCTGCTGCTGTTGCTGCTGCTGTTGTTGCTGAGCCTGCTGTCTTTGCATCACCAACATTTGTTGCTTGTACCATTGCGGTTGCTGCTGAACAGGCTGCTGTTGCTGCTGCTGCTGCTGTTGTTGTTGCTGTTGATGCTGATTCAGCATCGCTTGTATTTGCATTCTACCTTGCTGTTGTTGCTGCTGCTGATGTTGCTGTTGTTGTTGTTGCTGCTGCTGGTGTTGTTGTTGCTGCTGTTGCTGTTGAGACATCATATGCTGCAAACCAGGTTGTTGTTGCGGCTGACTGGGACCCAAAGGTCCAACTCCACCGCCATACTGCCCACTTTGTTGCTGAAGGGCAAGCGCCTTTTTATTTAAAAAATTATATGGTAATAGAAATCATCAAAATCGAGAGTGAGAACAAGTAAATAATAGTACAGTGAAATGTACATATGAAATCTTTATCATCATACCCGCTGCTTGATGAAGGCGGCCATTATCGGTGGATTGCTTTTGAGTATTTGAAGTATTTGGTTTTGTTGCTCGGGAGTATGGGGATTCTTGAGAGTCTGCATAAGCTGCTGCAATACGTGCTTGTGCATGTTGTTTTGAGCCTGTGGTCCAACTTGACTGACCGGACCACCGATGACTCCTGGTTGCCTCGGCATTTGTCCTCCCATTGCCATCCCTGGCTGTCCCTGATGTTGCTGTTGTTGTTGCATTAATTGCTGCGGCGTTTGTTGCCTTAAACCAGGATTCTGCTGCATCACCGCATTAGGTTGATACCTGCTACGCGTGAAAACATATTTAATGAACATGTCCTGTTACAAAAACATATTTTTTATATTTATATGGCGAAGTAGTACCTTGGCGTCCACTGGTCCATTGGAATGAGATGAGTACCACCGGGATTAGGCATTTGGACGGGCATTGGCCGCTGCATTTGAGGGGGTGGCATCACTCCACCCGTCTGTCCTCCTACGCCAACTCCGACTCCAACTCCTCCGCCTGGGGTTACTTTACCATAACCCACGTGCGGCGCTTGCTGCCTCGCAGCTTCTTCTTGTACCTGTTTAACAACCTGGAGGACATGGGCGGGTGGTGTTTGCGTGCCAGGTTTTAACCCTATTCCAGGCTGATGCGGCGAAGGTAAATTGGTAGGGCTGACTCCTGGTTTCATGGCAACACCAGTCGGCATAGTAACATTCGATGTTTGCTGCCCAGTTTGCATCGCTCCAACAGGACCTGTTGGTCTCGTATTCATCACAGCCATTCTTCTTCTACAATAAGAAAAATACATCGGTTACAAATATATCTCAAGTATTTGAGCAAATTAAACCTATTTCCGTTTTTGATCGTATCCTTTTACCTCAACAATTGCGCTTGCTGTAACCGTTGTTGAAGCTGTTGCTGCTTCAACTTGTGTTTGATGTTCGAACAGAATGGAACAAGACATTTAGTCTCTTGGCAGTGTTTAGCATGGTAACAGCATAGCGCTATCAATTGTTTACAGATTGGACATCCACCATTCGTCTTTCTCTTGCAAATCTTTGTATGCGTTACAACTCTCTTCATCTTTTGACAGCTGGGCAGACGACAATTAGCATCTCTGCATTGGCACGCGTGTACCAACGATTGAATACATCTTTGTATCGAAAGTTTACGAGCCTCCTGTTGAAAAAGTCATGTACAATACTCGTTACACATTTGATACGATGCTAATGGTGTACTCGATTTTCGGAGAAAATATTTTACCTGTGGATTTGCTTGTTTTGCATCGGCCGGCGATGAACCATCATCTAAATCTAAACCAAGTTTCTCCATATGATGAGGATGACCATCTTTCTCTTTACAACTTATACACAAGTCAAAGTCCTATTAGGATAAACAATAATATTAAACCCATACACAAAAAGAATGTAGTACATTTATAAGAAATGACTTTGTTACTCACATCACAAACCGTACAGTGATATCTTGTTTCTACATGACTCTTACAGTTATTACACGTATAAACAAATTTATCTTGGCCTTGATTGTGCAATTCGTACAACATGGACATGGAACTAAATTTCGCGCGTCTTAAAGAAGAAAATTCATAATGTCTTTCTCTAGCCATTGTAAGAAAAGCATCGCGGCCATCCATAAGATCACAATTAATGACTGGATCAGGATCCTGAATCGGCTGGAATAAACATTGTTATTCAATGCAAGTGTTTGGTAGTAAATGGTAAAGGCAAAACAATTCAAAATACTTACTGCTAAACTGGCTGCACTTTGAGCGCTATGCAACCTAATAACAAAGAATACTTCCTTATGTTTCTCCATCGTCGCAAAAATTTTTGCAGAGAGATCATTTCCTGTTTGAGGAGTATTAGATTTTTTACTGTTTTTTCTTTGATTCGCTTTGGATTTATTAGACTTTTTGGCCTTTTTCTGTCCCTTCTTCTTTCCATCTGGACCCGTTTCAGAATCTTCAGATAACGAGAAAATCTGAAATAAAATTACACATGTTACGATCAATATCTTACCACTAAAGGAAAGTGAATTTCATCTCGAATAACGAAACTGTTAAATTTACGTACCGCATTTGCGGCTGCGGCTTCAGCAGCTTCAGCCTGTTTACGTTTTTCTTCTTCTTCTTGATCTAATTCCTTGATACTTTCTTCTAAAACATTTGGCCAAAAGTCACCTTCAAAATACGGTAAATCCGCGGCTGATGAAAGTTTGTCCTCCATTGCTTGTTTTAAAATATCCTAAAATTAATAAATAATGTATATTTATTTTGACATTTAACCGTACTTTTAAGCAAAAGATTTGCTTTCTAATTGTTGCCTGCTAATCCTATGTTCAAATTTACGAATTCAATAGGACCATTAGCTTTTACAAGCGTTGCTTTTAGTCTTCCTTGACACCCAAGAGTAACAATCCATTCTTAGGTAACACTTGAGACTGTACTATGTAATCGCGTTAAGTTAAATCGTTGATACTAACTTTATAATCGAGTACGATCCTTTCTACCATGCCTTTGTCCAACATTTTTTTATACCATTCCTGTAATCTCTTAGGTTTTGGAATCTTTTGTTCTTGGGGATGGCAGTGAAAGATATAATCATCTCCTTCAGAAGGCGGACAGGCCCAAATGTGAGCCATCGTGTATCTGTGCAAAACATGTTCCAGGCAAGTGCTAGCCAATATTGATATTATGTTGTAAAACATAGAATTACTTTTAGCTTACCCAAGTTGTTTCGCGTAATCTAAGTACCCAAGAAGTATTTCATGATAGACTGCTGTTCGGAATTGTCTAGGCCGGAAAAAATGTACGGAATCCAAGTACGCGATATAGACCCTTCTGGTATTAGGTGGCGTACATTCACTGCCATATTCTTGCACATGCATGCCGAAAAAACATACGTCTGTGCCGTCAACCTCTTCAAATGCAAACAACGCTTTCGCCCTGTACGGAAATTCGCCAGGCATATCACCGTTTTCTACAAATCTACTTCTCATTCCAGGCTTCACTTCGACCACTTTATCGCTCGATGCTACGACTCTAATCGCAACTTCGCCAGCACCAGCTTCTTTCTTCTTTAGGAAATTGTTCACTCGCGTTTCGATGTAAGTGCCCAATTTTGTAATCGGTAAACGTTTAGCATTAAACTTGTTTTCTTTGCGTTTCTGTCCCTTCTTCTTCAAACAATTATCACAAGTAAACCTGCAGAAACAATAATGTTTCATATACCGAAACGACATTTATTTATTTACACTCATCACAATTATTCTGCGAGAAGCATCTTTACTTACCCTAGCGGCCAAATTGATTCCATGTGAAGCACACAGATTTGATGCACTTTTCTGCCGCAATCTGTACACACAACAAAAGGCTCCAATTCTAAATGATCATTCTTCATTTCCTGGAACTGCTCCTTTTTTATGGCACTGTAACGAAAAGTGATATTTTATGATCGGCGTATCCAGTAAAGTGAATATCGTAAAACATTCCCACAGTTTTGAAACTTACGTCTGAGGTTGGGTTGGATCGTCTCCTAACGTCACAGTGTCACCAGGAATGTCGTTGAAACATTTCTGACAGAAGGTGTATCTGTCGGAAACAAGACCATATGCCTTTAAACTATCGTTCCAATAGTATTTAGATCCAAATTCAATTCGCCAATGTCATGCGTGCATCATACGAAGATCAATATGTTTTTCCACGCCCCAACGGATGTATCCAAATGTCGAGTATCCAATTTTGATAAATGTTTGTTTTTATTATTGCAATTATACACATGCAAGTAATTTTTTTGCCAATTATATATATATGTATACATATTTATATATGTTTGGGTCCGTTTTATTTTTTGTTCCAAAAATTGTAGAGAGTCGTCATTTTTTTTGTCATTTATTGCAGATACAATTTGTTTTAGGTTTATTATTACGCCAGGTATCCAATTTCGATCGTCCAATTTCCAAGTATCAATTTTCGTGGCATGAAGTAGTAGAGTCGGAAAGAAGCAAGGGGCGCGGGCAACACAAGAAGCAAGCAGCAAACAAGGATTTTTTGTGTGCGTGCGCAACCCATGGGTAGAGCGAAGGTAACATACAAAGAAGAGAAGAGTGCCATTGTTAGACACGATATATTATGTACATAAATTACTTAATTACATATACCCAAGGGTTACAAATGTATTTCTTCGTTAACGTATGTTTACGGGTGTTAATTAAACTAAATTATACGTAAAAGAAAATATATTTGACAAACACATCTAGCTCTTAACTATTCCTATGTACGAAGCTATATATCCCTTAAGTATATGCGTAATAAAATTTAAACTTCACGCGTGCGAGCTTCGCGCAACAGTACATTCACCGATAAATATACTGTGATTAGGATACAAAAAAAAAAAAAAAAAAAATATATAATAACGAAACAAACGTGTAGGTCAGGAGACTGGCCTGTATCGACTGATATGGCCGAAACAGGTTAATTAGCCTGCCAATTTAATCTGGCGTATTCGGTTGTAGAACATTTCTCTTCCAAAAAATGCACTATTATAGTCGAATGCGCCTATCGGACAATTTGAATTTCTCAAATTGAATCGAAGAAATCTAATGTAAGTATTCTTTAAAGACAGTCGAGAGCAAAAGAAGTCATTAACAAGATACCTAATTATCTAAATAGAGAAATTGCTAAAGGACGAGATGGAGATAAAAACCTACTAATATATTCCCATCATGCAGACTATTTCTTTGTCAATTATTAGGTAAATTCTCTTGTTATATGTAGTTATTCGACTAAAATTCTTTTGTATACTGACCTATTCTGGTAGGAGTAGTACTTTGCATCTCTTGGTATCGTACAGAGCTGTTTCCCATAACAACACAAAACTTGTGGATTGAACGTGTACTTTCTTCCGCAACAGTAGCCTAAGGCCTGCATTACAGGATCTATCTCTTGTTCGAAAACTTCCGAAAGCTAAGACCAACATTTTAAAATTTTGTGATTTTATTTTACAACGTTAACATTACGTACGTATATAGTAACTGAAACATTCGAAAATCAACATTACCTTTGTGCAATATCTGTAAACGCGTGAAGTTTTACGATTGTAAAGCCATGCGTTGTCAAACATCATCCACACGTCGTCCACATATTCCCATGGATCACTGTATTGCCCCGTATCCAACTTTCGTTTGATCGTCGAAAGATCCATAGGTTTTTTGACGATGTCAAAGTAGTCTGGAATTCCCAATGCTTGCGGATCAACCGGTTGTCTAAACGGTATAGAATCCGGATCTTGACGGTAAAGTTTCTCCAAGGTTGGCATTAATGCTTGACGCAATTCGTCCGGTTTGAACAAACACAACCGTTTTTTGTCCGTCGATGTACCGCTCGACTGTATCGGCTCAGGAACTAATGGTTTGATGTCCGGTGTCGCCGTATCTTGTCCAGACATCGGTGTCACAGGCTCTTCCTTGATACCGGAAGATTCTTCCTTCACGATGCCCTCGCCAGATCCTTCCTCCATAGGTTCCGTTTTGATTTCGGTTTTGATAGACATCTCGTTGTTTACACTTTTACCACCATCCATTCTATGATTATCGGAACCATCCTCTGTCTTGATTTCCATTTTCATACTCTCCTCCTTAATAGAATCCAGCTTTCCCTTATTGTTATTCATTGGTGGACTAGGAGAATTATCACGATCTAAAGCAGCTGTGATAGCGGCCATTTGCGAAGACATAGATGAAGCTCTTGGAGCATTTAGCGCAGCCCTCTCTTGAGATGTCATGCCTTTCCCAAGACTTGCGAGACCAGCAGGGGATGGTGTGGTACCAGGATGAGGCGGAGTTTGATTAGCGGAAGAAACTGTCTGATTTGGAGTCATCATTGAAGGAACTAACGGTGTATTAGGTGTGGAAGTTGTAGATTGAGGTCCGTTCGTCGTCGTCGCTGGACCGGGACTAGGCCCGCTAGACGCGGGAGGTGGTATCGTTTGAGGAGTTGACGCACCGATACCACTATCGTTAGGTGTTGAAACGGATAAAGGCCGATTATTGTTGAATTGCTGATTTTGTTGATTATTTTGTTGCTGCATACCACTGAACGGTGACGGTGCTTGAGGCATCGACGTCGTCGTAGAGCTTTGATTCGAAGTGCTCGTTGGTTGCTGTGGTTGTGACTGATTTTGTTGTTGCTGTGCTTGCGATTGCGGTGGCTGTTGTTGTTGTTGTTGTTGTTGCTGTTGTTGCTGCTGCTGTTGCTGCTGTTGTTGTTGTTGATGCTGATGCGCAATGGCTGCTTGCGCTGCTTGAGCTTGCGCCAGTCTAACTTTCATAAGATCAGGAAACTGATGTTGATTCTGTACAGGAGAACTGTTAGGTAAACCGGAAGTGCCATTTGAGGTTGGAAATTGACTAGTTGTTGCGGATGTGGTAGTAGTTGTTAAATTTGCTTGTGACATTTGAGGTTGTCCGAATGGACTAAGACCAGGATTTGAAACAACGTTAGGGTTAGAAGTTGACTGTCCGTTTGGACTAGGACCCGGTGGACCAACTAAAATTCCTTGCTGTTGTTGTTGCATTTGTTGCTGAACTTGCGCCTGGGCCTGAGCTTGAACTTTGGTTTGGGCTTGCACCTGCACTTGTTGTTGTTGTGCTTGTTGCTGAGAAAATTGCATTCTATTGTGCGGAATGCCCATTGCAGGTAAAGTTCCAAGTTGACCCATGCCGGGCGAATGACTACGTAGGCTAGGAGTAACCGTTCCAACCGGTCGTGACGGTGGAACTGTTCCGACACCCGGTGGAGCACATGGCCTCAAACCCGGACCAGCTGCTCCCGATGATCCAGGTTGAGGTTGCTGTTGGGCTTGCAATTGCTGTTGCTGTTGTTCTTTTCGCTTTTGTCGTTTTTCCTCCAATTCCTTTTGAATCTTATATATTTTTTCGGCAAGTAAATGATAATACTCTGATCTCGAATTAGCCATTTCGTACATATCGCCTTCAACTTTCCTTGCATACGCAACTAAATTGTGCATTCTTTTATCAAGCATGGCGTTTGGATCAGGAGTTGGAAATATTGCTTGAACCAATTTATGCACAAGATGATTTCGAAGATCTGGAGTTACGGATTGATGCCACTCCTTCGATCCCTGTATCGGCGTTGCAGTTACTTGACTTTGCTGAGCTCCAACAGGAAGTTGGGGACTAGCTAACCTGTTTTCAGCTGCAACATTCAATTGTCCCGAATCGTTTAAACCAAATAACTGGTGCACATTAACCGATTGCTGTAAATTTACAGCAGCCGCTGCTGCAGCAGGCGTGGCTCCACTAGTGGACGCAGCCTGATTACCAGTTACCCCGACGGTATTAGGATCAGAATTTAAAGGAAGAGATACATTTGGTGCGACTACTTGCTGTCCAGCACCAACCACGGATTGACCCGGAGCAGTTTGAGTTTGAGGTTGAGTTAACCTGACATTTCCCATTGTTCCGGTCGCTCCTTGCATACCTGGTGCTGGTATTCTTCTAGTAACACACTGACCAGGTACTAAACCAGGTGTTGTTGTAGGACATTGAATACCCAAAGCATCGTATGCTCTTCTCATCTCAGTTGCAGTTGGATTTGGTTGACTATTTGGTTGCGACGTAGATGCTGCTGCAGCATTCGTAGTTTTATTCTTATTTGCTTGTTTTAAGGGTAAGCATACAGGACAATCGTTGCGGTTACAATGTTTCCAATGACTAATAATTTGCCTCGAAGAGCTACAATGTGGCACCGTACAATTTTTCCCTGCTTGACAAGCAGTCATATGGTTCAACACGTTCTTCATTGTCTTACAATCTGGCAAAGTACATTGCCAAGCGTCACCATTTGCCTGACTTTCGCGCCGTTGACATTTATGCGCATGAAGCAGAAGAACTAATTGCTGTTGAATAAGTTTACGTTTTTCTGGATCAGCGGTTGATTTTGTAGCACCTAATAATACAAAAATCGTGCGTAATTAAATTCATTTCTCAAAAGAATTTTGAAAAAATTTCAAAATGAATACTTACCAGCAGGAGCACCGGCATTGGATATTTGGCCCTGAGTAGCTTGCTGTGGACCAGATTGTACTCCACTTGGCGCAACGGATTGAGATTGAGCTGGACTCTGAGCAGGAGGTTGAGCTTGTTGCGACATACCACCTTCTGGACCGCCCACAACGGTAGCCGAACCAATAGGTCCTGCAGTTCCACCAAATCTACCAGCAGCTTGCATGGCTGTCATGTTTGTTCCTACTCCTTTTTGTTGAGGTGCAACGACTCCAGCGGGACTATTAGTGCATACAGTAACACCAGGTCCTGGTCCACTAGCTGGAGATGCTGTTCAGAAATTATATAATTGTTTAAATTTGATTACAAAAATGATTAGCGATGCGCATATTTAATATAATTACCATAAGCATAAGGACTGGATGCACCAATTTGTCCCATATTTTGCATATTGGCCATGTTTGGAGGAGCCTGCATTCGCGGACCTCCTTGGCCTGGACCAACAATACCAACTTGATGTACTTGTTGATGTGGACTTTGACCTCTTGCTGCACCAACCATATGTGCTTGTTGTTGTTGTTGCAGCGCTACAGCTCTAGTGTTCATTATTCCAGGTCCATTTTGCATTTGAGCAACACCGTGTGGTCCGGTAGGATGATGAATTCCTTGAGTATTGGGGCCCATCATGGTTACCTATAATATGAAAATTCCATAATGTATATTTTGTACAATTTTTTTACGAGAGACACATTTGAATAACACTTACAGTATTCAAAGGCTGTTTATTCAAACTGTTGGTTACAATTAAACTTCCACCGGCCATTCCGCCCATATTATTATTTCCACTAGCAGTGCTGGTCATAACTAGACCAGAATTCATTCCACCTGGCATCGACATGGTAGGATTACTTCCAGCCATGCTCATCGACGATTGAAGGCCTCCCATAGAATTTGCAATAGACATTTGATTGTTTGCCAAAGAACTGGCTATGCTACTTGGTAAATTTCCCAGACTCACGACCATTTGTGGATCAACTACTTTAGAGACAGAAACGTTTGGTGGGGATTGCATATTTGGACTTTTGTTACCCAAGGTTCCAGCAGCCATTACTAAAGAATTAGCCACCAAATTCTTGTTTCCCTGTTTCAAAAGACACTGAAGTCAAATAACACGAAATATAATTACTTCCACTATATATATACATATATATATATCTATCTATATATCTATATACACACATATATTTTATGAATACGAACTTGTTGCTGTATTAGGTGATGAGAAAGTTGTTGCTGCTGTTGCTGTACATGTTGTCGAAGTTCCGAGTCAAGAGCACCGTTTTGCTGCCCTGGACCTGGGCCTGTTGCAGGGGGTTTAGCACTTTCTGTTGCAGAACCCCAGGACCCCGATGACAATAGATCGTCAGGTAGATCATTCTCAAGATCAAACATATCTGTGTTTGTTATGTAATCTGAGAATATACGTTTACATTAGTAATAGCTCACTAATACCGGCAGTGCTGTAAAAAATACTGGTTACTACAAAAGTAAGATTTTGAAATACATAATTGTCATAGGAATACTTTGATAGCGAGTATGTTACACTGTTAAATAAAATTTTTGTCAAAATGTGGAACTTATAAGCAGGTTTGATATTACAAGAAAGAAAAATTACTTTTCTAGATAACCAGTTTGAAAAATTGGAATGAGATAATGATATTAGATGTAACATGTACCATAGAGACCAAAAAACCATTAGTAACATTATGAAGGTAAGATTCAGCACCGTCACCATAGCTTTTATCCAAAGTTTCAATAGTAGGATCATTATACTACCGTGTAACATTTGATGCGTATTGTATAATATACCTGCATGTAAGTGAACATGCACGTATATGAACACATGCGCACACTTTGAAACACTTATATACATATGTTTTAAATTACAGATAATTTGTATTTATTCAAATTACTTTAACCTAAAGTATTGAAATACATTTGTCGCGCGAATGTATCTATTAACTTACTTGATTATCCGTGATTGACCATTCATCAACGGAGAAAAAAGGGGTCAAATGCAAATATATGAAAAAAAGAAATTAAAAAGAAATGAAAAGATACTACAACAAACTACATGTAAATATAAACAAACAAATACGTAAATAAATAAGACATGAGACATACACTGCATGAGCATAACTTAAAGGAGTTCATACTACATTGGAATAAAAATTTGATCGCAATAACGCCGTGCTGAACTACAAAAGCAGCAAAGCTACCAATGGCAAACTTTAGAGTAGACAGTCATGCGAAGAAATCATAGTCACTCTAAAGAGTATTTACAATTGTTTGCAAATGGAATAATTTTTAATCCTGTAACATTAAAAAAGAAAAAAAAACAACAACAACAAAAACAAAATATAAAGTTTCTGAAACTCTTACAAATTAATGTAAATTGATTTGTCATTTTATTTAAATTCTTATACTGATTACCTGTATAGTGTAATAATATGTAAGTACAAAAGACCATATTTACCTACCTAAAAACCTAGTTTAATTTTAACTTGATAAAAATGAATCTGTTTTTTTATTTTATAAATTGTATATATTATATATATCATATTCCTGGCCTAGTGTTGCATTCTAGAGCTCCGTGCATGTGTGTCGCATGTCCATATTATATTTGTTACCTCTAAATGTATTTAAAGTTCACAGCATATGTATTTAAATTTTTCTATTGCGCGACAAACCAAATTACCCCTTTACATACATAACTTTTCCTATATTATGAAGAATGATCCAATTTTTCTCCAGTATCTTATAAAAGAAATCAATCTGTTTCGAGTATTAAGCATATCTGCTATATAAATTCGTAATTCGGCTCTATTACAAGTAATTAATGTAATTCTTTCTTTTAGTTTAACTTTTATAAGTAAAACCAAGTAAACTATCTTTATCGAACCATAGTGACAATATGCCAAAACTGTACACACTTTAAAAAGAATACAAACACTTATGAAATTTTTGACTGGTAATTCATGATATAAACTAGAAGTATTCAAATGATTTTACTTCATGGTATTAATAAATGAGATGAATAGACAGACAAACAAATTTTGTAGTGCTGGACTTAATATTTTTGAACTTTTTGCTGGGTTTTGTAATAATATTTACTTCTTTTCTGGACGGTATGGTTGTTCCAATGTGGCTGCAGCTGATGCTGTTGCAGATGTAGCTGTTGTGGCGGGCCCTGCATTTGTTGCATGTTACCACTGCCACCTCCCCCGTAGTTTGTATAAGCATGGTGCATCATTAGAGGCGCCATACCCACTACATATATCACAGTTTATATTTCAGACTGTGGAAAATTGCCTATGCTCTGGATTGCAGCTTTTAAGCAGCAGAAACAGCCTAAATTTTGTTTGAAATAGTACTAATACAACGAAACTAGTATATGTATTTGCAAGTAACAAAGACTATGTCTGCTACTTACTTTGCGTAACCTGACTAAATTTTGCAATTTATACATCAAATATTTAAGTGACACGGTCGTTCTTGAAGGATCTTGATTCAATATAGGATTATATGAAATATTATTGAGTTCAGAAACTGTTAAGGTGATAAGATAGCGCTTAAAGAAAATAAGAATAAGGAGACGGTTAAGGTATCGATCATGCCAGCAAAATATCTTTTTAATCGTTATTTAAATGTCCATGCATTTGCCATGCACTACAAAAGAAAAATAAGAACTAAGTCTAAAGACAACTTAAAAAAAAAAAAAAACAAAAAACAAAAAACTTATGACACTATTATTTCTTAGCGTTAAACTGAAATAAGAGAAAGAACGTGCATCAAGACAGAAATTGTAGATTGTTTAGATACAAATAATTATTTTTCGAAGACAGAATAGTTTTGTGACCTCTGAGCAAAAATTTATACACTAAATGCAAATTGCTTGTTATTCAACATAAAATAACTTAATCTATAAGCTTTTATCGTTCCCATTGGTGATACAACTTTTTCTTTTTGTAAAGTGACTTTTATTATGGTTTCATTTAAATATAAAAACATATCGAAAGACAATTTTGGCTAATTTATCGTACTAATGGAAACACTATGGACAATTTGTAATATAACGTACTTTTTACGACGACATTCTTTGTGCAGTTTAGGTTAGTTTAAGGACAGTTAAATACCAAGCTATAGCAATTTCGATCGGTAGAAATCTCGATAAAGAGCAACAGAAGTTAACTTTCAACAATCTCAAAATACACGCGTTACAAGGGTCTGTCAACGAGTGACACTTGAATCATAAAATGAACAATTAGCTACAACCGCAACGCTTTCCTAAATGACTGGAAAAACTAGAAAAGAATCGTAAAAAAGATAATATGGTCCGAAAGTAGCAGTGTTACGAAGTGAATCGCATCTGGGGAACCAAAATACTCAGATGTTTAAAAGAGAAAAAGCCGAGGCATCGGCGAGCATGAGATAATTTTGCTCAAAGGTTGTATCCGTCAACAGATTGACAGTAGTGCCTTCAAACTCTAATCGGCGGGCATATATTTCTCAATGAAACGAGAAAGATGCGTGCAGCACGTCGCGTATAATCAGAAGAACGCTTATGTGTCACTTCGTGCGACTAATCTATCGCTGAAAGGTTAGTCGCGCGATGCAACCGTGACTAATTTACGAAAAGTTTCTTAAGAGAATAAGGAAAAGATGAAAACTTACCCGCGGAATCCGAAGTCCCTTGAAAAGGATCTCCGAGCTTCGGCCGCTTGTTCGGCGGGCCGTCCACCAGGTGGTCGGCCATGGTTTCTTTTCAGGGTTAATTATTTCTTCTTTCAGGGCTGTTTACTCTCGGTAGGAAGTAAGCAGCGGCGGCGGCGGCGGCAGCAAGTCGTCGAGTCGTCGAGTCGACCGCACGCACGCACGCACGCAGGCAGGCAGGCAGGCAGGCAGCAGGCAGACAGGCAGCACGCACGCACGCAGGAACGTATACACGGTGTAACACACACGAGTGAGCAAAACGCTGCACTACGCCACTAGAAGACCGCTGTTGGTGATGCTGATGCTGGTCACTGTTGCTGCTACTTCTTTCTTCTCATTGGCAAAGCCGCGAAAATTCACCAAACTCTCAGCGTATTCGCAGGCATGACAATAACAATGAGAACCGCGGCGCGTAGAGCGTCCCCGAGCACGCTTCGTTACACGATCAACCATTGGGCATCGTCGGGGGGTACGTCGAACCCCGCGCTAAAGCCCACACACGCACACACAGTAAATTTTGTCGACAGGCGCACGGACCACTCGCACGAGCCACGGGACAGACCGAGAAGTTACCAGGACTATCGAGTATTACTAATTGCGAGGATCACCACTGTGGTATTAAATGCACACACTACAGGAACAAGCTCCTCGCGTTTTAATTCGTTTAGTAGTCGTATCGCACACGACTCGTCAAACACTCGAGTGTGGCGGACTGGCTGCGCGCACGGCGCTATCTCGCAGCAACGATATCGCTCTCGAGGCCCGCTGGCACCATCTTCCTCTCCTCTTCTCTCGCCTTGGCACACTGCGACACGGGGCGCGCGAACGATCACCGCGGACGCGGCTCGCTTTCCTCGCACATTCGAGGCAATCACGGACGCCAGGAAGCGAGGACGATGAAATGAGTCGGCTCCGGGGCGGCCACCGCGCGCCACAGAAATTCGCTCGGGAAAAGCGATCGCGAGAGTTCCGCACTGCACGAGTATCGGCTAACGTAAAATGGCGGCTGCTGTTGACGAGAAGTTTTTCTACGCTTGTCAGAAAATGTCCGACTGGCTCCGTATGGTTACCGTGACGTTAGACCGTTCACCTGATTGGTCCGACCATCCACGTGACCTAGCGTTTCGACGTGATTGGTCGAGTCGCTGCGAGGCCACGAACGCCGTGATTACGTTCACGCCGCCGGTCCAACAGCTACGGGAACTTCGTTTATTCCTCTGCCGCCATTTGATGATGGCCGGTGTCGCACGGTGGTTGCATATGACGCTTTTTAAATCAGACTCATTATTATTAGTTCACGATACTTTTACGTACAAGTTTCTTCGCTTCGATTATCTACTTCGAGATATCTTTATAGTAAATAATCGTGGACTATTCGTAACGGTGATTATTCATAACCTGAGAAATCGTGAAATAACCTAGCTTCGTTTATTCCTTGTTACCGGAAAATATCGAAACAGTGATTCAAGCGATTTACCACTTTGAATTTCGGAGATGAAACTTCTCTACATCGACTTATATATATATGTATCGTTGTATTAAGCTTTATTTAACGTTTACGTTTTACATATATGCATTAAAAGTAAGATATTTAACGAAAATAAATTATGGTAGAATTGTTATAGAAATACAATTTTTTTTCTGATTTATTTACGTTATATCATACAATATATCATATAATATGTCTACTTAAAATGATCGTTAAAATGTCCGCCATTATTATGTAATGATACTGAATTAGTATCTAAATTACAAAAATTATATAAGATATTTTTGATAGTTCCGTTACTATTATTAACATTAATCACATTTCTACAATTTTTAATGAAAATCACATTCAATGAATTAATTTGCGTTTGAACGAGGAAATTAGTAATTTTTCTTACTGAACTCGATCTACTCTGGAATCAATAATAATTTATAAAAATATTTTACTGTATACCGAACATTGTCTATTAGAGACGTTAATGACCTTAGTTAATTGAAGTAATGTTACCAAAATGGCCTACGTTTGACGGCCATAGGCCGACTAAAGTCACTCTACTCTTTTATTACGTTTCCGTACCCATTCTCTGACAGAAGTTTATAAATCGTGTATGTCTATTCATCGTACGAATGAGCACTTTCTCTTTTTAATCGCAATAAAAGATTTATTATATTAACCTGTTACGATCACAACCTGTTCACTACGTACGTAATTAATCTATTTTTCAACCAAGATCAGTACCCACTGTTTCGTGCGCAACAACAAACATGAAGAATCTTGTTCGCTGATATATTTACAAAGTTAAGAGTGTCAAAGGGGGATGTTGTTACAAGATGGCCAGGGACTTCTCGATCGACAGGTTAAAAGGAAGAATGCACGCAAGGTGGGGAGAATGCGTGCGCAGAATGTCCTCTCTTCGAGAAAGAGAATCCGACTCGTGTGGATAGGTGCGAACGGCACGCGACTCGTCGCACGCATATATTGTGCGTGAACTTGCTTCCATCTCCCTTTTCCTCTTGCTTTCCTTCTCGTTCTTTACTACACTTTTCTTTCTCTCGGTCATGCGTTTATGCGTGCGCGCGCGCACGATAGTGTCAGATACAGAGAGTTGTGTAAAGAAAGAGGTGAACGCTAAAGGAGAGGGAGCATTGGAAATGGGACGGGAACTGGATAACGGCGTGGCAGCAGCCAACCTAGCCATCTCAGTGACAGCGGCTCTTTGTGGAGTGTTGCTAGTTGCTAGTCGCTAGTCCCAGCTAATCCCGCGTTGTTTTTCTTCAACAATGTTGATCTCGATTTGTTCGAGAATCTAGTTACCGAAACGTAAACGTATGATGAATGATTCTTTGTAGGGATTTGTTCGACTTTCAGGCACTTGCATACCCGAATCTTTCGATTGAGATTTGCCTCGATACTACCAGATGCATCTTTAATCTTCCGACTATCAAAATATTTTGTCAACCCGTTACTATTCTTTCAAGGTATTGTTCGATCATCCTTATCGATCGCGTTCAATAATCATTGCAAGTAATACGAACTTAAACAGAGAACAATTGAATTACAATAGAGCGAAAGAAATCACGAAAATCTGCTAATACTCTTTATCCGTGTGTTACGTAACTACTGATTGAACAAAATATTTAAAAGTGTTATAACGACGCAGTGCTATCGACTTTTTTGTTTACGATTCATTTGGCTTAATTTCTGTTTGGTTACTAGTTAATTCGTAATATCTTTTCGTTATTGTTACATATCGGGTGAAAATAGTCGGTGACTACAAGATTATCGTATCTAACGAAACTGCGCACCGATCGTGTATACTTCTATGACCGAGTAGAAATAAAAATATCCGCGAAGGGTGCATTGACCGATCTCTAACACATGCCAATACATTAATCTGCTTAAAAACTTGTTCAAAGTTTGAAATACCAATTACCGCGTATTCGTTCAGTATTTTGATTATTACAAAACCGAACAAACTATTTTCACGCAGTCTTTGAGTCACTGTTATCACGGTCGTTGTCTACAATGATAACGAACGCAGTTTTCGTAATCTCGCCTGCCGATATGATACGATTCCATTCTAAATACATATATTCAATTTATTAGACGCATATTCTGCTTGATTGTTTCCAAATTATGCATTGGTATGGCTATGAATAATTAAACTCTTTATTGGCCTTCAAAGTAGTACTGAAGAGAGATACTAATCGTTCATTAAAGAAAGCCGAAGTATGATTTGTTCCACGATAGATCGATGAAAAATGTCCTAGTTAATTAATGTTAATTTATCGAGTATATACTCATGTAACATAATAATTATAATCGGGTACAGAAGGAAGGTCATGCTTCAAATTATGATAACCGCTATTGTTCGTAATTGATTTCTCCCTCGATTAATGAAAAACATTTATCTCGCCTATAACAACTTACTATAATATTACGCTGGTAATATTTTTTATGTTATTATAATAAATCATAATAATGACAATTACACGTAGTAGTATTATAAAACAAATGAGTTAAACATTAATGCAAATCTTACAAATATATAAACGTCTTTATTCAACACCTTTAGAAATATTCTAATGCCTTTTAGGGCGATTAATTTCCTAACAACAAAATAATATAATTAAATCCATATGCAGTAGTCTCTCGCATAATGTGATTAATACGTTACGCGTTGTATGACATCGTGTTATACCAGGAAAATTCTCGTATAACACAAATAAATTATATGTACATTATGTTGTAAGAATTCGTGTAACGCAATAATTCTTTAATTCTAAGTTTTCAATGCTTAAAATATGCAAATATTGTATATCATGTAAAAAGGAGTGGGAGAAATGAAGTACAAATGAGTGAAAGGACTTGTTTGAAAGAAACGACATTTTAATATAAACAAAATTTACTATTAACTTTTGGTATCATAACATCTAATAATAGAGTACCCGAAACCTCCACCTTACAAACTGTCCACTCGCTCTTGTGTAATAACAGAAAGTACAATTGAATAACAATACATAATGCTTTTTACAAATAATCTTACACAAGATTGGTACTAATCGACATCTGTAAGAATTAACGCACAATTATGTAAAATTTGGAACATTTCATTTAACAAAGAAAATACAACAATATGCCTTAACAAAGTAATATTCCTCATATGATATAAATGTGAAATATCTTGAAACTATATGAAAATTTTTCATGTTTGGTCAAGTATTTGATCTTAGCTTTAGTTTAATCTGAGCAGCATTTTCCATAAAATCAGTGTAATAAATATATAAAAATATCATTTACTCCATTACTTCGAGTGAAAATTAATAAAATAGACAATATGAATGCTTGCAAAGAACTCGGTCCCTTCTTATACATTGATCATGTTGGTGAAAGAGATTGAGTGAATCATAAATATTATAAAAAAGAAATGCAAGATAAATACGAAATATTAATCATTTGAAATAATTATAAAATAGCTTATAAATATTTCTTTTTAATAGGAATGATACAGAATCAATTTGATTATTTTAAACTGAAAATGTTTTCATGCTGTTACGATAAACTAACCGCAAATTCGTAACTCTGAAATGAATGAAAACAGTTTTTATTATACAATTCATTAATGTTATTTTCTCTAATAACACAGTTTAAAAAAGACATTTTATAAAAAAAATCAGATTAACAAGTTAATCCAAATGGACATGAACTACAAATACCAGTTTATTACAGAAATCATTTGTGGTTAAATTATTAAAATAGAATTAATTGCACAAATTATGGTATTTAGAGAATACATACATATTAAAATTATGTAACATATGTTTACAAGTATTTAAAGAAATACAAGCTCTGTTACTCCCTACAAATTAACAAAAATTTTCATAAATAATCACATGGTAATAAATGATTTGTAGCGTTACCAACACCGCTACAAATATCAGAAATTATTAAGAAATCTTCATTTTTAAACAATAACAATTTACACGAGCACATTAAAATGTACAAGAAATTTTACAGAATATACCACCATTTCTATTCATATAAAAAGGACTAGTAAATGTTTGTCACTATTTATAAACTTTCAGATTGAATTTTAATTTAGTTTTGTATAAAAAAACAGACTATTTTCGGTATTGGGACATTCGTGCTTAATCTATGTCTTTATTTAACGATTTCAGTAAATATAGGTTTTTAATGGAATTTCCTAAAATATAGAACATAAGAAAATATAAATTGAAGTATAATAATGCAGAGTGCTGCATTAATTTCAAATGCATGTAAAACATAACACCATTCTATCCAAATTTACAGATACCAATACACGTATATTGTATGTACTCGATGTTATGTAGCAAAACATGAGTGACAGTATAAACGAAGATCTTTAATAATGGAATATAGCTCAAAAGTTATGTCTTAAGCCTAGTGCCAGTTTTCAAGGGCATTAAGAAATCTTTTGTACATATATAAAAACTTATACCATACAAGTATCCTTATTGTTTGGAAAATCGGATATTTAAAGAAGTCTTTGCATATAACACCAGTTTTGAACATTTACATACTTCTAACTTGATTAAAAGGTACCACTTTACTTTTTATTTTAATATCATTATTACGTAGCAAAATATCCAGTAGAATGTTCAGAAATATATCCATGAGTCACGATTTTAAGTTTCTTTAGTAATGGTGTGCGCGTAATATCCTTTTGAAATTGTTTGACATTTGAAGCACAATCAAATGGTCAATCATTCTTAGATTTTGTTTTGGTTGCTTGATCAGACTTTGCTTCACTTTCGTGCTGTTCAGATTTTGATTCAGTCTCTTGCTGACTACCCTCATCCTCTTCATCCGAATAATTGGTAGGTGCTTCACCAGGTTTCAACAATTTTCCCACATAATCATACTTCTCTAAAATGGAAAATACGTTTGAAAACATTAATAAATTGAAAGCATAATGATAACAATCCTTATCATTTCTTCTTCTTCTTCTTATTTAGTCTAAGTTACCTTTAAATTGTTCGTCCCATTCTTTCACAGAATTCATTTCTGTAGTGTTTAAATCACTTAAATCATCGTATTCATCTTTTGGTGCTTCTAATGAAAATGTTGCTAAACCTCTGCTAGCATCCCGTCCACCAAATGCTGCATAAGGACCACCTGAAATAGAATCAATGAAAAGTTTACTAGAATATAATAGTAAGTAACAATATAATACATAGTCACAAGAAGTATAAAATAGAGATTGCTAAATACATCTGATAAATATGATTGTAAGCGAATAAATATATTTGAAGATATACAGTATTTCTCACAATCATGTATTGCATCCAACACACAATAAAACTGACCTTACATATTCAATAAATTCATTCCGATGTGCGTAAACATCGTGAAAGAATCGTTGAATTTCGGTAATTAACAAAACGTCAGATTGATCATACTGTTATATCACAACCTTTATGAACTCATTATCTCGATCTCGTGATGATCAGAAATTTATTTTTGCATAATCCCCGAGCTGATGATAAGTGATGCTCGACTAAAGGTAGCATAAGCTCATTAAAAACGATGCGAGACTCGTAACAGTAATAGAACGTTGTTGTAATTACGATGCAATCGCGTGCGTGACGAAGAAGATACGTCCGTAAAAAAGTCACAAGACATGTTAAAAGCTTACCAGGACCATAAAATCTGGCGCCACGAGTACAGTCGTAAACGTTGCCGTTGACAGCAAGCAATATTCGTCCATCTGATCCTGTGCCATCGTACTCTTTCAATTCTTGCACCGTAAAGTCACGTCGCAACTTCGGCAATCTCTTTACAGTACTCTCTTCGACAGTTTTTCTTTTAACAATTTTGTACACCAAAATGGCGATCACGCCTACTAGAATGAGATTTAACGGGCTCTTTATGATTTCTCCAATAAAACCTAAAATTAGTTGTTGAATTTCTTGTCCGGTCGAAGTTGAGGTGGAACCCGGCAAGTCATTCTTTTCCGCCATTTTGACCAACAATTTTCAAGCGTGCCGAGGAATAAAACAATTTCTTCTATTTACTATTGATTAACTCCGTTTGACACACTTTGTTAAACGTTTAGGAAGAACCATGAAATAATTTTGTTAAAGAACGAACTACTATCTAACCACCTCAGGATGTACCGTTTAAATGACTCACGTACAACCTCAACCGCATACTACTGACGTACCGGCGCTGGTCGCACTCTGTCGCACTGGTATGATGGCATCTACAATTCTACTGATTCTATACCAATGAGATTATAGAGGGTGCCTCAAAATGTGCGATAAAAGTAAAAAAGGAGAAAATTAATTAAAAATATAAAACAAAATTTTGAATAAACATCTATAAAAAGAGATCAGCTTCAATGACCCTGACGTCCCTGACCAGCCTGACCTTCACATGTTACTAAGCTCGTAATCTCGAGTAACAACCAAGAAGTGTTAGCTTTGTCTATCAAAAAATTAATCAAACAAATTTTAATATGAATCCATCTATCTCAACCTATATCTTCCTCGCGGAGCTAAACCTAATTCAATCTAATCATAATAATACATTGTTTTAGCATTATTTCATTGTTTGGTAACCCGAGTTTGACTTTGAGATAGGTTAGATTGGTGGGAAATGCATTTAAGAGAGGGGCGGGCACTAACATCTTTTTGTCGTTATACAAGACTCTGTTGTGACAATATACAAGTGTATACACATATATGAAGGACAATGTCTGGAGCTGAGTCTTTTTTTGGGTATATGTATTTTCCAATTGATTTTTTCAATAGAAAATCTATCGAAGCTTTTTAGCATTGTGCTTCATATTTTGGGACAACTTGTACATTTTGATGTACACAGATACACTATCCCACTACTGCTACCCAGATCGGAGCGTATATTTTGTTTGTTTAATGCAATGCGTCGGGAGTAAAAATTGTTGCGATCTAAAAACATTCATATCTGACATTCTTCGATTAGATACGTGATGCATGAATAGAATCATTGAAAAAAATGGATAATTGTATAGACATATTCAACGCACTTTATTGTTACCGTTACGATTGATATTGTAACGTAACGTTGATATTGCTAATGTGTTACCGTAATTATGCAAAATCCGTCGGGCGGTATACATGAATCTGAATATAGGGTTGGCTCATTCATGTAAACTTGTCTCATTAAAATCAACGAATTCAAAATCATAGATTTCTATTACACTTTAACTTTTATGTTGTTGCTTTTGAAATGAAATTAATATATTTCAATAAAGTTAAGATATTATAATGAACGTTTTACACGAAATCGTTTTAACGATTGTCAACGAAATTTTAATTATTGGATTTCATAAGAAATCTGATGATTAGCTAATATTTTATGACACGAAGATCAGTGTGTCACTATATAGGCTCAATTTTTCAAAGTCATGCCGTGTTGTCATTCTTCCTGTAAGTGTAACACACGATGGATCGATTTTAATTGAAGCATATTACGTTAGATGTCGCTTTTATTTCGCGACAAATACCTTTTGCGGTATTGTACATTTATAGAAATTTATGATTTATTTCGAATTTGTCATACAATGTTCCTACTCACACATAACATGCACATTAATATAATATAAAGGTTAATAGTAAAAATGTAAATTATATGTCAGATATCCAAAACAACTTTTTCTGCGTACTGCGTAATACCAATAATACGTTCGATGATATAAGTTGATTAATAGATCCGATAGCGGTGGCATGATTGAATAAATCAATAAATGCTTGAGACTAGTTTATTGACGACAAAACTACGTATTACATTTCTTTGTGTGGGGGGCACTCCGACTTGTGCACAACTTTCATAGATAGTCTACAACACTATATGTATAATAAACTACTTGTACTCAATTGCATTGTACTTATATAGGACGGCATCGTTTCATAAGGATAATTCAATGGTTACGTATTTTGCACTTTAAATGAATGATGTTTATCTACATCATATAGAATATATATGATACAATCTCGTAATTAAAAGGAAAATATTGGTTCAAATTGGAAAAAGATATATACATACAAATAAAAACGATTAAGCTTTCCCTGACATTTTTTCATCTTGAAAATCAAGATAAGGACGGACGTTAAGTGTAGACGAAATCATGTTAACGTCTACTTTTTCCGAACACATTGGACATGTTCCTTCAGACTCGACGATCCTGATATAATAAAATATAATATAATTATATGTTATTTAATAGTCTTACGTTTAAAATAAAATAGTTTATATACCGTATAAATTCACTTCTTATGGCAGGAAAATCACATTGTGGACACGTCGTAAAATCATCTTCAACGATATGTCGTCCCTAAAAGTAATCCCGTATTTAAAACAAAAAAATACATTATATTTCATAATAAACTTAGAAGTAATGATGCAAGAACTAACTGTAGCTATACAAAAAGGTATCGCATTTTTACACTTATCACAGGTAATCTCGGTTTCAGGAAGTTTACTCTTGCAAAAAGGACACGGTGTTAAAGGTTCATCTTCAATTTCATTATCTTTTGATCTTGGCGGTTTTCTTACGATCGCTTCAATTTTTTTACTATATTTAGCATCAATTTGATTCCTGTATTCTGGGCGCATTAACATAGCAGCAAAATTAAACGCTGCATTTTTTAATCCAGCTCTTTGACACTCTATTACAGTAGAAGTCAATATTGGAACGATATCTAAAATTATATTTTTATTAAAATAATCTTGTAATATTTCTGATGTTGTTGGAAATTATTTAATTTTCTTTACTAACGTGATGGAAATTTCGAAATATTGTTGGCTACCCTTATTAACATACGAGCACCACGTAAATGATCACTTTTTTTTACGTGAAGTCGAACGAGAATATACGAATGCAAAAGTCTTAAATTATTTTGCATCTCTAACGGTATATTGATCTTATTCCTCTTTAATTCTTGATACATGCTAAACAAAACGTCATGGGCATTTCTGTAATTTCCACTAGTTTGTTCTTCGTTTGCAATTATAACCGCTGTCTTTGCAGCTTCTCTATATTGTTTTCTAGCCATGTAGAGTCGGAATAGATACTTCGGATCCTTTGGCAAACCGTCTCCACCCAATAAGAAATCTATCAGCTGATTCGCAAGTTTGTCATCTTTTGACGAAGCAACTGTATCGATTGCTAATGTGAAGACCTCATCTTCGTCTGTCATTAATTGTGCAGCTTTCAATAAATGCCGCAATGCCTTCTGATATTCCTTAGCGTGAAAATAATATTTTCCTGCCAAAAGATTATTCTTCTGAGATTCGAAATGCATTGCAAGACTTCTGAAGTCTTCCTTCCGTGCGTTGCTATCGTCGACTGTATTTAACAAAATTTCTCCATACAATTCCATTTTCCCATGTTGATTAGCTAATTGAAAAGCTTCATCGTGACAAGTCGATAAGATTAAAAACTTAATCGCTGAATTATAGTCATTCATTTTTTGAAAATATTTTGCAACCAATTTAGCTCCTTCTATACTTTTAGTTTGTTGTACCACTTCTACGCTTCGCGCGGGATTGTTTAAATATTCTAAATTAATTCTAATTATATTTTCATAATCTTTTGCAGACTCGTATGCTTTAGCTGCTTCTTCATATCTGCCTTCAGCTTCTTTAGCTTTCGCGTATTGTATATTAATCTTGGCGGATGATATTTGCGGCAAAAGTTGTCCCACTTTCTGCCAGTTCTTTAATTTTATATATGCTGATGCTGCTTTGTCAAAATATTCAGTTTTTTCATATAATAGTGCAGCTTCGTTAAATTGCTTCATTGTTTCTAAAATTTCAGCACATTCTTTTCGCAACTGTCGCGAACTTTCATTATCCATAGCTATGCTCACGCCTCTTCTACTATCACCACATCTAATAGACATTCTCGCAATTCCAGCAAGACAGAGATTGCGATGGTGCGGATTATGTATAGTCGTGTGAGATAAAGTATTAGAATCTACTAATCCGCGTTCATAGTTTGTTAAAGCTTTTGGATAATTACCTGTAAATTCCAATTGTTGAGCATATTCTCTAGCAATGTAAGGAATTTCATCAGCTTTCAGCTTTAGAGCTAAATTCAGTGCTTGTTCCCACTGCATCAAATCCCTTCTTAAATATAGTGCTTGCACTGGCTCTGAAGATTGCAAAAAAAATTGTTCTGCCTGATTATAATCGCCAAGCAAGATACATGCATGGCCACATAATAATGATAATTCATCTATATTTTCTATGTTTTGTAATGCCCAAACCATCGAAGCATCTTCTATATAACGATATACACGAATGGCAAAATTAATATTTAAGTTTACAATTGCACTCTCTCCTAATTTTAACCATGATTCTTTTTCGTTAATTTTCTCACAAGTGTTCCATGCTTGTTGAAATCTTCTAGAAAGAAGTTGATTTTCCAAAACTTCTTTACATTTTGTAGATTCCACAACATTTCCAATATCTTCGTGCGAAGATAGTGTAATTTGAATCAACTTATTACTTACTGAACTTAATGTTAATTCTCCGGAATACATCAATAGCGGTACTGTTTCAGATGGTAGTTTTGTCGTATTAATTTTTACGATCTTAGTACCTTTGATAAAATATTTTACAAATATGTACGTAACAATAATACTTTTATTGTATACAGCGAATATATTACGTTCTAAAATATTCTGATCCCAAATTATCCCCTGTATGTAATCTGGACAATCAGGAATTTGTAAAACGATCTCTTGCATAGGACTATATACATAAGCATCAGATTTATTATCTATAAAACACAACTGTGTCCCATTTGCATCTAGATAGATTTCCTTTATGCCAGTATTGTGTATATACTCTGTACACTGATTAAACACTTCTAGGCAAAAGTAGATGATGTGGCCCATATCACTTGCATAGATAAAAAAATCTGTGCTGAGAGCATGGCACGTTATTCTAAAATCTGAAGCATTTGAGTCTGGAAACATTTTTGTATCTTTTCCTTCCTTTGTTAAAAATTGGTCCACTTTAATCGAGTGCAATTGTAATTTTCCATCAAATAAAACGGAGACATAAGTTTCATTCAATCGAATACTATCTATTGTTGCTAAATAATCTCGTTCAAAATGCACTGTAGTGTTGTAAGAATTTTCAGATATGTCCCAAAACAGTGCCCTATTATTTAAACCCACTGTCACATGCATAGGACCTACTGCTAATACCGATGGTTCTATTATAGTATTAATTGTTATTGGTTCTGGGTTCTCCTTGTCTAACATGTAGAAATTTACTGCAACTTCTGTTAAACTGGTAAGTAAAGCTATTTTATTTCCACAAACGCTAAATAATTTTGGAATTTGTATTAAGTAGACTAAAACGTTGCCGGTATAAGTCACAGCTGCTATCATTGATCCATCCGTTGACCATTCCACTTTGGTAATTCCAGTTTCACCACTTATGGTGATTAATTGTTCAGTTTCCTCTAAATTCTGTAGACTATGTATTTTTATAGTATTATCTCCACATGTAGCAATTTTTCCAATTACCTGACTAATGGCTAAGTCAGTTAAAGAATCTTTATGATTTTTAACTTGGAAAAGTTCCTGACCAACCTCCTTAATATGCGTGGATATTGCAGTAAAATACCCAGTTTCAAAACCAACTAAGATATAACCATCACCATACCTGAACACAATGAAATTATGATTAAAAGATATATTAAGTATTGAATTTGAATTCATTTATAATATACCTTACCATTTATAAGTAATAATAGGACCATAACGTTTTTGAAAAGCTAATTCAATAGGATTCTCTGGATCCAAAATATTATATAGAAATAAAGTGGTTTTACTAATAATGAGAGATACCTAGGATACAATACAAAAGTAATAATAATTAAAGTAAATAAGTGTGGTAACAGTTTGTTACACAATGTTTAAATAACAAATCATACTGTATTTTCACCCCCGATCCTGTGATCCATCTTCATTTCGTTAAACTGAATATCAGATGGATCACCTTGAAGTGGTATTTCACGATGTGTATCTCCATCACTTGTACTAATAGTTAAAACTTTGTCTTCACTTGCCAAAGCAAGAAGACCTTCATAAGACCAAGCACCACAGGTTATACGTTTTTTATGTTTTCCCAAAATTGGTATTCTCCTATTCATTAATCAAAAAATCAATGTATATCTATTTATCATGATACATGGGAATATCCTATACTAATTACTGAGGAAGTAGAATATCATACTTGGCATTTATATGATCGTAAAGTACCAAATTTCCTTTCTGAGTTCCCACAGCTAACAAGCAGCTTCTTTTTGCCCACATTATACATGTCAAACCATCTCTTACACCAGCATCTATTTGTGATTTTTTCCCAGTTGTTGCATCCCATAATGTGATAGTAGAAGAATTTTGTGATATAATAGCTAGTAAGTCTCCATCGGAATCCCATCCAAAACCAGTACATAAACCAAGAATTTGAATACGATCTTGTAAATCACCTTGTCTATCAAAAATAGCAACCGAGGAATCGTAGCCAGTAGTTGCTAAATGTGTACTATTACCAGGGCGCCAAGTAATAAACACAGTACCGGTACCGTGAGGTTGATGTAACTGATAAAGGATCTATATAACAAAATTTGATAGATCAATACATATTAAAAAAAATAAACAAAACTACTTTATCACGCATTTCGTAAAGATGAAAACGCGTAAATAATAATGGTTGTAAATGATAACTCTTTCTAATAACACGATAGAAAAATGAACAAAGATTCCAACAAATTGTTTATTAATACATAACCTACCTTTTCGGTTGACATTTTTTAAGATAGAGATATTTGAACAGTATAGTTGAAAAGGCTAATCGCCTAATTACGCATACAAATGTTGCGACGGCGCATCGTTAAAGTATTGATTCATTAGATGTTGTTTTTTACGTACAATATTATATCCACTTTATCTGCCATATTGTTTATATTTAGGTAGTCTTTCCGATCAATTCCAAATTGTTTGACGCTTTTACTCATACGTTAGTGGTAGATTGCGCCACATGTTGATATTATCATTGATAATGAAACTACTATTCAAACATAAATGATTACATTTTAAGAACGCATCCCATTATACAAGTAACGAATATTTAGCATGATTTATTTAAATGACATATACAAATGTATGAAAATGGAATGGTATGTATTTAATAAATAATAATCTATTTTTTGTATTGATAAACTATCATAAATTACTATAAAGAAGCAAGAGTAGTCGAACTTGGTAATTGACTCCTTGCACTGTACGATAAGTTTCACAGGGTGTCCAATTATGAAACATGAAATTCGAACTTATTCGCTTTATTTCTTCTTCTTTTGTCCATTAACGTGGAACTGCGTACTATTTCTATATAAATAATATCGATAATGCGACCCACATTGTATCACGATTATTATTACACATTATTTACATCAAAACATGTATGTTTGTGTGTTTCATTACAAAAGTGTTTTACAAGATCTCCAGGTCACAATGTCGAATCTCTGGATGTTTCTTCTACAAGGATCATGAAAACATAAAAAACATTATGAATTAGAAGCGTCAAGTGATCAATAATTATATTCTTATAATAAGGATAGCAATGAGATCTTTGTAGATTACCTTCAATTTCAATTCCATTCTGTCTATCTCTCCACCAACCATATCCACGATACCTTCACCATGCTTTAAAAGAAATGTCTCCAACTCGTCGATATTTTCCATACCTTTTACTTCCTAGAAATAAAACAATTTTTATAATAATGCGCTTATTTATAAAGGTTTCACAAAGGGAACTGTACCTTCAACATTAAAGCGAGATCATTTTTGTCCAGATAAGATCTCGCCAGTTCTCTTCCATCAAAATCTATTTCGGCCTTGTATCGAACTAAGTTATTCCCCATATCGATACCTTTAACATCATAAATTGCTCGAACCTGATGTACAGTCAATTAATAGAAAAATCTCTATTTTCATGTTTATAGTAATTCATAGTAAGGGAACATTACCATTATATCTGATTCTAATTCTGTGTTGATCTTATCAAGATCATCTTGAGATATACTTCTTCCAATTAAAGCTGCAGTGTTTGTATTAATTATAAATGTTGCTACTCCACCAAGAAGAAATCCACCCAATATGGATCCGATAGCATCGTACATTGGATTTCCTGTGTAAGAAGTTAAACTCATGCAGATAGTCGCAGTAGTAATACCGACCACCTATCGCGTTTTAAAACATTTGTAATAAAATGTTTTTTCATGTTAAATGTGATTTTATGTATTTATCGAATACTTGCCGATGCAAAGTCTTCCAAAAGCACAACATTTACAGAAGGATCTTGTCCTGCTAATACATATTCTTTAAATGTTCGTTGCTTCTCTTCAGCTCCTTTTTTTATTGATTGAATTGCCACTAATAACGTCGCTCCCTCGGATACCAATGAACCAACTAAGACATAATATGCCCAATAAAACGGTTCCACCGGAGATGGGTTCAAAAGGCCATGAATTCCATGATAAATTGATAAACCAGCACCAACACAGAAGATACCAACACCAGATATCAAAGAAGAAACGTACTTCATATTTGTGTATCCATATGGATGATCAGGGTTAGGATTCTGAAATATTTTACGTAAATTAAACGCTCAGGCATTTTTTGTTTGCTTAAACACATGTAATATGAATGTATATGAATATTTTTTACCTGTACAGATTTATAAATTCCATATGCCAATATTAATTGATTACAAGTGTCTGCAGCAGAGTGCACGCACTCTGCAAACATGCTATGGGAGCCGGTAAATATACAAGCGCATAGTTTACACAAGAAATTACTAGCATTGCTGGATAAAAAAAGCAATAAATTATTTAAATAATGAAATTTCATAAAACGCAAGAGAAAATATAAAACTTACATTACAATTGCAGTCAGAACCACTTTACCAGACCTTCCAAAAAGACCTTCTTGTTCTTGAATGAATTCCGTCGTTTTGCTGCCCATTTCTCGCCTATAATCTCTCAGTCTCCGTTTAACAGTAAATATATCTACGATGAAAAGTAGATTGCAATATTTATACTAGTTAGATTATGAAGAAGATATTCATGTCATGATAATAAAAAGTAACAATGACCCCTGTAAGATGGAGAAAGACTTTTGAGCTATAAAATTGATCAACTTTCTATTAGAAATGCTTTATGGGGATTTCAAACATTTTAAATGAATATATTGTAGTAAAATAAGATACATTATTCTTACTTTGTTGATACGTCTTTTGTTCAAGTTCTTTTTTAAGTAGCTCCTTTGCTAAAGCATCTCGCGATCCCCAAACCTCCAATGCTCTAAAAGTAAATTAAGTTTACTAAATATTAATACGAAATATTTGTAATCTGGACAAATATTAACACACATTAATCAAAATATATATTCTCACTTGGCTTCAACATCTTTTCTCCAATAAACAGTTATTGGTGGTTCAAATTCATATGGTGATCTTCTTTTTGTCTTTGGTAAATTTTCAAGATCGGAGGGCTTTAATAAAAAATCAGACATAGCCCTAACCGGTGTAATAAAGTTACGCTCTAGGGATGATGTACTTCTATCAACTTTCATCTTCTTTTTAGCTAAACAAAATAATTTGATATAAATATTAATAAAAATCAAGGTAATAAAGATCTCTATGAACAAAAAAATTTCTTATATTCATTTTACCTTCTGCAGTAAGTTCTTGTTGTTTATATTTTTTGTTCTGATCATCAGCAGTAGAAACTGGATCGACATCTAATTTTCTCTCTTTTAATTGACCTAAATTTTCTGCTTTTAATTCTATTATCGTCTGTTGTAATGGACCCTTTGGCTTTTTAACCAGGTTTCCAGAGTCGTCTTTCTGTGTTTTTGCAACAACAGAAATTGACCTTGACATTGCAATAAATATCCAGCTCCATTTCTCCGGATGTCCTATTATTTTGGTACCAAAAACCTTCTGAGAGTTTGTAACAATGCGTAACCTGTATTTTGTATTATGGTTGCATGTTATCAAAGTACTGGCACACCTTTTCGTGTATCCTACTTGAAAAAAGTACAAGTAATCGTTATTGTAGCGGCTAATATTATGAAGAAGTTTTGGTATTTTGGTAGATTGTTTTAACATCATTCCAAGTCTCGGTCGCCGCCAGGCACAATTTTGCGAGACCAGTAACACCTAACCTATTAAAAAGTAATTACTGTTCAATTACTTCTGTGTAGAAAAATCACTTTCATTTCTAACATTACGATAAATAATTTTATTGTCATTATGTAAAAAATGTATTTGTAAAAATTTGCATATTTCCGAAAAAAATCATACGCTCGAAAACAAACTGTTTCACAGATATTCTTTACCTTTATTATAAATTCACTAATCTTACAGAATGGAATACATTGTTAATAAATGTTATGAACAAAATTGTGGCTCAGCATTAGGCTACGTTCAAAAGAATTATCCGGTGTTTTATCGAACTGAACTGTCAAAAAGTTGATTAAAGTTGATCAATTCCTGCTTAACATAAGAGTAGTACTAAGCAACTAAGCATCAATAACCGTCGGTAAAAGCATAGTCTTGATGTTTATAAACTGAATAGATTTACCAATAAATACAATAATCAAGAAACGTTATATGTGGTAATGTTGCAAAGTATTGTAATAAACGCGAGATATTCTTTTGAAGAATATGTACTGTCTTAAAATTCTGTCAAGCTTTTAACTAATAAAATGCATCGCTATCAAAGATAAGGGTGATTTTAACGAGTTGCTATGCATTCTGGTAATGATATACTTTCGTTATCATTTACCTTTTAACGTTTGTAATAATTTACATCTATTTGTGCCAATATTTCCCTTATTTGTAATTTCATATAGAAATCTGTTATACCTTCAGTGGCATAGTGTTTGTTTAGTGGCGCCATCGGTGGGAAAATGCCCAAGTTTGTAGTGAAAATAGTTTTCACAGTTTCTGCAAGATGGCGTCACTGATACCTTCAATCAATTATTCTTTATTTTTCATAAATGCATCATTAATACTATTTTTTGCTTTATAATACCACAATATAGTATTTTAATATATTATTTAAACAATTATCTGCGTTTATGTATGTAAATACAGCAACAATTGTCGACCTCTTAGTGAAGCCATCTAGTAGAAAGAGTGGGAACTATTTTCACTATAAACTTAGACGTTTTCTCACCGATGGCGCCACTGGTAGTAAAAATCGCTCACTGAGCGGCACAGTGAGCGGTGGTCTTTCTTGATGCACCCTTTATCAATTGAGCAAATAGATTGGTATTATGTGTCAATGTGTGGCTCAGTTGTCAAATAGTGTCAAATAGGCAAGAAAAGGTGTAAAATACATCGCTATGGACGGGAGTCAAACGCAAGGCAATGATCAGCAATTCATCTCCTTCCAAGATTTTCCTCCGATACACCACGAGGGAAATATTGGTCAAGCACAATTAAATGTCCATGCTTCCAGTCATCAAGCTTTTAATAACCTATCTAATGACACCACGGGTGTCGGCATGATCGAGGATCTACAAGGAATGCCTGATAAAAACGAAGGTTTGCGCTTTTGCAATTGTGTCTTTAACACTAAATGGCTATCCGATTAAAATTTTCATTTTGACTTTTTGAAAATCATGTTTACCCTTTTTTAGACATATCACCACGAAGTTTTTGGACGATAGAATACTATCAAAAATTCTTTAATGTGAACACAAACGACGTTGTAGAAAGAATTAAACGATCTATGATTCCGCATGGCAGTGACAACTATTTGATTTCTCATATAAGACCTAATCCAGATTTGTATGGTCCGTTTTGGATTTGTATTACATTGGTATTTTCTATAGCCATTAGTGGCAACTTGGCCAATTATTTGCAAACTGTCAATTCAGGCAAATATCATTGGAAGTATGAATTTCACATTGTATCTTATGCTGCCACTTGCATATTTTTATATGCTTGGCTGTTACCAATAACATTGTGGGGTGCACTAAAATGGACTGTCAGTACAAGAGATACGGAAGAAGAATTAATTGAGGTTCAACACTATTCTTTATTATTTGTGAATAATACTTGTAATAATTTATAAGAGTATATTTTTATTACAGTCTTACGCAACACCTGGCCTCTTGGAACTAGTGTGTCTTTATGGTTACTCTTTAGCCATTTACATCCCTGTAGCCTTTCTTTGGACGATACAAATTGGGTGGTTACAATGGAGTTTAGTAATAGTAGCAACCGTTTTGTCCGGTGGAGTTTTATTAAGATCTTTGTTGCCCATTATATCAGGTAAAATATATACATTTATCTGTTTTATTTCTAAATGTATATAAAGTTGCTTGACATGCATGAAACAATTAATAAAATGGCTAGAATGATGCGATAATTTGTTATAGAATTAATCAACATTTTAGGGAAGTATCGAATGATATATATAGCGATAATTCTTGGGTTGCATCTGCTGCTGGCAGCTGGATTCAGGTTGTACTTCTTTCACGGTCCACCTAGTGACGCTGTTCATATTGCGGTGAAAATCGTATCAACCACTGAAAACATTGTTTCTTCAAGCTCTACGGGTTAACGATACCTCGAATCATTCAATCGCAACTCAAGTCGAATACCGTCGAAACAATTCTCGACTTGGTCAGCTAACGTATCTGTTTCAGTAAGGACCGTCTGATAAAATCGAACGATATATATTTGCTGACCACTAATTCCGTCTTCGTGAAAATAGAACTAGTATTTATATTCTATCTGTGAACGAAAAATAAATAAAGATAATTGAAATTTGTGAAACTTGAGGTACTAATGTTTATTAAAAAGACATCACTTGATCGACCCATATAATTTTTATTCCTGTGTGTCAGGGCAATATAGAAGGCCAACAAAGTGTCTGGTTGATTTATTTTCACAGCCCCCATTTCAATCCAGGGATGCGATACATATCAACGCAACACATATCATTTACAATCATACGAATCTTCATATTGTACATAGTAATTGTTAATTAGTACTCGTAATACAATAGATAGTAATTGTTATTAGTTGACGTTAATACAATCGTACGTAGTTCATCAATATTTGTTCTTTTTTTTATTTTTTGTCTCTTCGTACAATTAATCATTGTGACAAAAGGCAACATTCACTATGTAGTAGTATCGTTACGCTATTATCGTCCGTCTAACAGTATACATATATGTACATGTATGTATACATATATACCATATGACAATAGTAACTTGTTCGCCGTTCAACGTTATTATATGTACAAAGGGTGCGGACCATTCGAGTATTAGCGAATGTACGCATCCAATTAAATCGAGGATTCCGTAGGCGCGCTTACGTTAGAAAGTAAATTGAGTGCGTTGAAAAATACTACATTTGCTAAGAAAGTTCATTGTGTCACGGTCTCGCGTTCGAAACTGATCGCGTCTTGCGTTTCCCCGACGATCTAGTTAGTGCGATTTACGAGAGGTAATAACAATAAAATGTAGGAAACATCTCGACGTCTACAAAGTAGTCTCCCGTTTTACAAGCCTTGTCGATGTGAGCGTCGCGTGTACAAAACATGAAAAATTCCTATGGGGGCTCAATTCTGTTCAAAAGTTGAACATATCTCGTAGCCTGTATCTTGCCGTCGTTCGAAGCCATGAGATAATAGACAGGCTATCGTAATCAACGAGAATCTAAAAAATTAAAACACGATTTTTTACCACCAATTTTCATTGCGTATTTTGAGCCGTTAGGTCGATCGGTATGCGCGATACAAGCTACCAGAAAATTTCTGTTTGAACGCGATTCCCGGAAACGTTTCTAAATTTACGGCTTGGTGCTCACAACGACTTGGTCCAACGTTTTTACAAGATAATGCAGTCAAAGATTGCGAATAGGCAGGAGCGATAATGAGTAATATGCATTTACGACAGTCTACGGAATTACTTGCTTACGATATTTTTGTTCTTTTAGTCTTGATTCTCTCAACACATTTACACAAAATGCGTTCGAGTCTGCTAAACGTAGTAGTTAATAGTAATAATAGTTTTTATTACCGTTATTTACAATAAGTTGCATCACCGAGGGTATCTGTCGTCATTGTTATTATTATTGTTGTTACGGTTATCATATAATACAAATATTTCTCTTCTATCTCGTTAGTGCAAACACGCATTGCTATTATAGAGACGCACGAATGAAAAAGACGTATGCACTATTTAAATATTAGACATAGACAGTAATGTTTACCCTGGTTTTTATCAATTATTACAAGTATACACATATTATATATATATATCTATATATAATATATATAACAATGCTCATAAATGTCGTACTTTTTATACAATCGTTGACTATCTTTTTCTACCGTGTTATGCGATATTACATAAATTTCAGGTTGATTATTCAGTCGCATGCTTAGACAGTACGTGATCCGTTTCTTATCCCGAACTCGTTAGCTTCGAAGTCACATTATCGCGATAATAACAAACGTAGACGAGATGATCGTTTTATCGAACAAACGGGATAATTAAAACAACAGATAGAGAACACAACTGTTACTTTTTTTCGCGTTTAACTTCTGTTAGCTTCCTCAAGACTGTTGCAACCGTATTTATCGTACCCCGCAGTTTCTCGATCGCATAAGAATACTTTCATGTCGAGACAGCTTGCCAAAGAACAATGTTTGCGAGAAACTTCTACTTTTGTCGTACTATTCAGCTAGATGAACGGAAAGCCAAGTATCGTTTCATTCGGAATTGCAGCTCTTGGTGTTTATCCGCGTCTTTTCATTGGACATCGTGTCACAGACAAATATAGTAATCGAAAGTCTCGTATAGCGACAATGATATGTGTTTTCTTTTCTCACGGAGGAACCATATATGAAACTCGACGTGGAACACAATTTTCGACGATTCTACTTTCAAATCTTCTTTACGAATTTTGCAGCGGTAACTCGCGATTTAAGAGATGATCGATTACGAATTGCGAATAATTTTGAATCACCGTACTAGTATTTACGAAAAAATCATGTGCCGTCTCGATAGTCTTACTCGTAGCCAGTCGATCGTCTTATTACACGCTTTCCAGAGGAGAATATCAAACCAGGAGAATTCATCCTTAGCGAATATGGCTGTCGTACACGTGTCGGCGATTTCGCGCTATGAATCCGTCGCTCTAATTACAGTACGATTACAACAATTTTCTAAATGTGTTCTACAAGCTTCGTAAAAATCTAAGTTTTACATCCGTGATATACTTGTATCTGAAACGTGCCGCGCTATAAAGCATGCTACAGCAGAGAAGAAACAGACACGAACGAGATGCGCTCAAGTATCTTTTATGGTTGAAGAGAACAATCGGTATACATGGCATGTTTTGCTAAAAATTCGCACTCGTAGAATTGTAAAAAAAGGGACGTGTTTCGTTTCCGTTTCCGCTTCTGCTTCTAAACGCGCCTCGTTTATCGGTTTACAAATGGCGAGGCTCTTTTTGATCAATGTTCCGAGTCGATCGCATTCGTCGTTTCGATCGATCCTCGGTTCCTTTGATTGCAAGCTTATAGTAGTATATATAACAGGTACGGTGATTAATCAGTTAACTCTTACGGAAGCTTTTCTTTGGACCTGTCTGCTAGAACGGTTCGGTCTATGTATTGTCGAGAGGGTCCAACGACACATTGGAAAAGTGTCTTGGCGACAAATAGCGTTAGAATTGAATTTTGTATTTATCGAATGTACAAGTCCATCTAAGGAAATATTCTAGCCAACGTAAATACATGGATTTAGACACGTTTGCCGCGAGCAGGTTTACCAGTTTGACGGTCCGTTCTTTAAATTCGTCGTCACAGCAAACGGGATACGTCGATGAAAAAAACACGCGTGACGTTGGTCGGATATAGCATGGAAATGGGACACGAGCAATGTGTGCATGTAAAGCGAGAAAATAAGGACAACGTTTGATAAATAATACAGCCGTGACACAGCGAACTCAGTTCAAGAAGTGTCCGAGTGAGTTACACGGACATTTGCATTTATTAACCATTTAAAACACAGTGAGACGCCTGTACCGCTTGCGTGTATCTCTCTCTCACTCTCTCGTTTCGTACCAAATTCTTCATTTCACATTCGTACTTTCCCTTGTATTCGATCTTTCAGGTTGCATATAGTAATATCTCGAATACACTTACGCGGCTTCGAAGAGCGTCGAAGCTCTCGGTCGATCACCTTAAGCATTAGTCTTTAGTGTTTGATTATTATACTACAGTAATATACAGAAAATCGTGGTTCTTCACGCCGGCGGCCTGCTCGTCCATCGAGGCACTTTCGTTCAACGCCAATTTCATTCGCGTATGATCCCGTTTTTCCGTGATACAGCCACGACAAATTCGTTTCGAATCGCTGTACGAGCAAGTCCCCGGAGCTATCAGTTAATATATTCAATAATTACAATACACTAAATATAATCGGCCCGTGTATATTAAAATATAAATATCAAATAGACTTCTTGCCCCCAAGGATATATGCACCATCTAAATGCCGGTGCGCGACTTAAAAATTGAGAGACGTTTCGTTAAGTAAGTCGTCACCGATTAGTTTTTTAAGACCCCTGTTATCGGAAAAATGCGAAGCTCGCCACTACCAAAACAGAAGGAAACTCGGTACTTTCTCTCTTCGCTTCTCCAATTCGAACAATCGCTCTGCGCCAGTGCCGAGCAAAATGTATCGTTACAATTACAGATTACTCATGATTTATGAATACTCAGACACGATTTGCTCTCAAAGATTACAAATTACAAGTTTACAATTACTGATTTAATTAACAATCGTACAAACAAAGGTGCTCGACTCTGCACGCAACGCGCGTCGTTCGCAGAGTCGCGCGATAGACTAACACGAGACATCTCCGTGAATCGTTTGTAGTAGTTGCGAGCTGCGTCGCGATGAGATTAGAATTGTTTGGTTGCTTAAACGTTAACGTGTTCCGTGCGTTCTCTGTCCGGATGAGGCTGTTTCGGCCGAGACATTTAGCAGTATGTTACCGAGTGACCAACAGAGTCATCGCAAGAATTTTCAAGCCACTATTCCTTCAACAACCGATATTCTATCCTCGCATTGTTTCAGACGAGAATAGTTTGCTACCGAGTGTTTCGTCCGTAAAAGCCCCGAGAGACGTTGCGTCGACCGAGTGACGAGCCTTGGTACATCGATTGTATTTCGCGATATTCAGCGGATGCCACGGTAGCATCGGAGTGACGTGGGTCACACGCTCGGTCGCGAAGCGATTTAAACCTAAGTACTTTTGATTTGTCTCTGGTAATTGATTCGCGGTGGACATCGAAGAACGCCGAGCGCTTCGGCTCTCGTCCCTTCGTTCCCGCGCCGGTCGTCGACGCGCGTTTCTTCCATTTCTTTTATTGTCGGATACAAAAGAAGCCAAACAACGGAACTCGGGCATGTTCGGTCGACGCAACGCCGGAAACGTAACAGCGTTTTCCGGTATACATTTTCAACGCTACTTTTTTTTTTTCTTTGTTTTTCATTTTCTCTTTCTCTCGTTAACGCTTAATTTTAATCGGTTTTCGTATGTTCGACGACGACATCGATTCCGAATTGCGTGCGCAAACTATTTCCAAGACCAAACTAAACCTACGCTTTGTACTCTGGTCGACCTCTGAAATAATTCGTCGCACGCGCAAGCAATAGACATCTCATTCATTTTCATTTTATTACGTAACATATATGGAGAGAGAAATGGTGTTCGAAGAAATAGTCGGATGCGAATGCGAGACGATAAAAGTTACTTTAGAAAAGGATTAGTCCGGTCGAACGAAATTCAGAAAGAATCCTGGTTGGCTCGTCGATATAAGGCACGCTCTACTGATAAACAAATTGATCATCGGCTAGTGTTTCCGTTAGGACAACAGTTGTTTCGAACCGGAATTAGAAAAACTCCTCTTGTTAACAGTTCTAAGAAGCAAACAGTTCGTCGTTGAAAATAAATTGAAAAGTAACCGACGTAGCCGCGTCTCGGTGATTCGATACCCGATTATCGCTAAACACAGACATGGGCATAGATATATATTTCGAATAACGAACGAAAGATACACAACTTTTGATCGATTATTTGTCAAGGAAAAATTATAATTTGAATTATAATATAGAATTACAATTCACGGTGAACGAAGGAGCTTAGCCAATTAATCGCGACACCGTGTTTTCATTCGTCGTTTATTATTCGAATAAAAATTTGCCCATCTCCGATTAAACACCATTTCACATCCTCGCGACCTCGCTATTGTGCCCAGCGTGCACGGTACGCGACGCGGGTAAACACAATCGGCGCAGCCTGAGTGTTTTAATAATACTTTGAGACAGACTTTCTGCGAAAGCTTAAAAAACAGTTTTTTTTCATTTCATTTCTTTCGTTTTGTGTTTCTTTTCTTACGCTAAATACCGCCTTTTAGAAACTTCACTTTACTCTCGCATCGCTTCGGCGAGCGATGAATCGGAGTTACTATGTTGCTAGATACGTGGTCATACGAAAGATCCACGCGCATTCGAGTTTATCGAATCGAAATCTGTCTCACGACCGATAATAATTAATGTAGAAAATATCGTTCGATTCTTCGCGGGTCAAAAGTATTTACGTTAAACGATTTCTTGAACTTAGCGACCTTCGCAACAAAATTATATACTGCCGTGTCCTTCAACTATGGATCGACTATGATTTCTGGCCAATACGGTTCAAGAAATTTTTAAGTATAAAATATATACATTAACATTCGTCGATCGATAGTGGTGGGACTAGTATTCGTACAAGATACTTCCAGCCGTAAACGGTTTAAAATGCAAAACATAAATGTATCTCGGATTTAATAGAATCAAGTTCAAGTTGTTTTTTTTTCTTCTTTTTTTTTTTATACATAGTAACTTATTTCCGATGAAGCACCGATCACATGCGAACTGAACGTTCGAAAGACGTAGGTAACATCGACAAACTCGAGTGAACGCGGTAATTATAGTTTATACATTTATACAGCTGTATCCATAAGTATAACGGGATAAAGAAGTTTGGCAAATAGTATATTAATCGACGGCACGCATGACTTATCTACTCGACGAATGTCACGTGTGCATTATGTGTATGTGTGTAACTATCATACATATCGATAGTAATATACCGGTAAGGCGATGCTACGAAAATTTTTCGCAGAAAGACGTTTGGAAAATAATTCCAATGAAATTGAAAAAATTTCAATCAAAGAACAAGACGTTAAATCATTGTCGTCGTGAAAAATGAAAAGATCGACGTGCTTCACAGATTCGATCGACGGATTGAAACTCTACGATGTATACCAATTTCGAGCCATCGATTTAAGACTAAGAGACACAATAAAAATCGAACGTGTTAACTAAGTCGCGTATTTAGAATCAGTTGTAATAGCCCGTACGACATCGATAAAAAATAATACAATAGTATTTGTAACCACAACAATGTTAGAACGATTATTAATAATAATAGTATAAATGGCGCTACTACTGTCATAGTATAATTAAAATACACAAAAGACGAACATTCATATATGGTACAAATATATGTATAGTATAGCCATACAGCGATAGGTGTTATCGATAATAGCAAGTTCGGCTTATCCGTAAGATCGTATAAACTTCTAAATTTCACGGAGCTGTTGTTCGATAGACCTGTGTTAACCTCGTTACGATTCGTTTTCTCTAGAATTTTTTATTATCGGGCATCCATTTCGTTTTCTCGGTTTCATTCAACGACCACCGCGAAGACAAATATCAACGACGGTGAGTCCACAAAGAAAATACCCAGACCATAGTGAAATTAGAGTTCTGTTTGCGTCCAAGAACACTTGGAAATTTCCATAATCTTCTAAACTAGAAATACTTCGAAGACTAAGCGAACAAACGACGAAGAACAAACAACCAGTGTTCTCGGAATGGCGCGTAGAAAAAGTTCCTTTCCGTCTCGAATAGCTCTGCATCATAACGAGTAGACAAAAGTAGAATATGGTTACGTGCCACGAACGAAACAAACGAAACGTTTGCGAGTGTCGTTAAGAGCGAGAAGGAAGAAACAAAGAATACTAATCGTAAACCATATGAACGTTGAAACATTAAATTTTTCTACTTCCCTCCACAGCGAAGATACTGTTCTAACTATATGCCAAGGCGTATCTAATTAATTATCAATCTAAAAAATCCGTCACCCACAAAGATGAAAAATTGTTAACGACTAACAACGTCTAAACGGTGATGTATGTTTTCCTTTTTGTACACGAATATTTACCTCCTTGTTAAATCTATCGCTTAATCGTTTAATTGCATAGCATTATGCGTAAGTCGACGAACGTATATATATAATACAAATAACACCGTTAATATTAATTTGCGACATTATCATAGTGTAATAGTGAACATTAAGAACATCGAAGAACAGTCAGATAGGTGAATCATCGATTCTATCCTAATTTACCCGCGCGATCTATCATTTACGATCTTGCTTCCCCTAATCGGACTTCATTTACTCTCATTTATATACATCGAGAAAACTATCGAACCATTGTACGGAGAGCGGACAAACAGATTCGTCGTATCGTTTTAAAATTTCGAAAAAATTGTGTACCTTTTTCTTTTAAAAATTACGAACTATTGTAATTTCTCTCGCGCTAACGCGCGTACCATTTACTCTGCGAGATCGTGAGCAAACTTCTACCGAAATTCAGAACAATCGTGTTGATCGCGCAATCATGGTGGTACGATCGCTGCTTAATTTTCCTTATTTTGGTGTAAATGTGGTCTGATTGTGATGAGCAATTTCCGACGATTAAAGTCCAAAGAACGCAAGAAGACAAACGCTTAAGAACTCACAGAGCACAATACAATATCAATTTTCTAGTAGTAACTCCAAAAATATGTTATTCTCTCACTATATTTATAACTAAATTATCTATTCCTCAAAAATGTCAGTTACTCTGTTTACAGTGATAATGTATAATAACTTTATACGAACTATCCCATACAACGCGATCGAACGTTCCAAGTTCACGAAAAAACGTAATCTTTTTTCATGCATCTGCCCCCTTTGATTCCAGTATTTTATCCTCGGTTCTGGCCATTTCAACGCGAGTATCGGGCATTTCCAACGGTACTAAACTCGGTCGCCGAACGTCCTTTCGTTTTGTGTTTCGGAACCTACTTTCAAGAAAAGCCTCACCCTTATCACGTATCTTTCTACGACTACTCTTTCATGTCTCCTCTTTTCGATTATTTTCTCTTTCATTCGTATTTCCTTTTGTATGAAGATCCCGACCGATCGTTAGAGATTCCACGCTAAATATACTCACTATTGGACACAATCTCATTACAACATTTTAGGCACTACACCTACACTAATAAATCACTTCGCTCCCCCTGTCCCCTGATGCGATAAGAAACGTATGTACAAATTTAAAAACGATTAAAATAATCCTATCTCTATAATAGCTTTCAGTATATGTATGCGTGTATGTGTATTTGTCTCCGTGTATCATCGTGTCACCCGAAAGGAAGACACGACTGTTAGACTTACGCTCGACACGCGTGAAATCAATGGTATCGGCTGAAAACATTTGTTTCCTTTAGCAGGTTTTAAAACCGGCGACTGACTTGCAACAGAACGCTGTAATGTAACTGCTCGGCACGAATTGTACGGTTCGACACCAACGTTACATTACAACGTTACTCAGTTCAGTGAAAAGTAGACGATCAAAGAGGTTCGTGAAAAAACCGACAGACCAAGCGGAGCACGATCGAGCTCAAGAACGGCTCGGTTCGTCGCTCGTTAGTCCGTCAAACTAAGCGAATGCTCGCGTTACATTAAAATGTTCCGTTGCAAGTCAGTCGTCGGTTTTAGAGTGGCAACGTGGCAGCGAGGGCCTATCGCGAACAGTCTTCGATTTGTCGCAAATGGATAATCGACGGCAAAAGGATAAACGCCACGTTAACGAGAATACTCCGATACGTAAGATTGATCGAGTGGATGTTGGCGAGCAAACAAAATAACGCGTCCTATCGTCCGATCGAAAGTGACAAATTTGCGGTAACGTGTAATCTTCTGGATCGTTAACATCATGATTATACGTTTCCATACGTGATTACATTTTACGCCGCGTACACGTTTGGCCATTTCAAAAAGGCCTGACCGAAACAATATTCGCTATACGAATATCCACGCTACATAATATTTAATAAAATATCACAACTAGAACCATCGATACAATTTACGGTATACTTTTTTCTTTTTTAGTCAATTTGTTTTCCCGCGTATATATACACGTATATATAGTAATAGCATCTACTATGTGTTAATTAGATACTCCCCGTTGCAGCGACGCGCTTACTTCTAAGCCGTACAGCAAAAATGTGTGTTAAAAGTAACGATGACTGCGTTGAACATGACTCTTGAGCTTGTACTGACTGACGATCTACATCTAAGAGAGAAACTACTATTATTATAACATAGGACCATGCGCGAGTAGCGTATACACCACACTTTGTAAACCCAAAAGCTGTTATTAGTAATACATCGACCACAATATTTTCTACTCATTAGACAGTAATCGATATTTGACTTCAAACGCTAGTACTTAGAATGAAATCTACAGAGAATACTTTGTATGCCCCACAGCACGCTATTAACAACGGTGAATGTAATAATAAAATAATCTAATCTGTGGTTAATCCGAACTACGGTGCGATAATTACAGTTCTTAATGCTAATGTTTTACAAAATTCTTGCATCGTCAGTCAAAACTTGCTCTTTGGATGAAAGAAACGAAAACCTGACTGAGAAAACTTCCACCTACAACTAGTGACACGTATATATCTAAATATACGTCCGAATATGTACACAGAGGCGAAAATGAAGCATAAGAAATGACTATATTCGTACGACTGTCGCGTGTACACCGTGTAATGTGTGTGTTTGTCCAATGTATCGATTCGCAAAGGAATAAAACAAAACTGTTTCTATACATACACACGCGCGAGTACGCGCGCATACACACATACATATGTGCGCGTACACACGCACGTATATTATCACTAACAATGGTCTTCTTTACGGTAGTAAAAGTGTGTGAAATCTAAGGATATGACTTTATCTCGCGATATGCGAGAAGAGAAGGTAGGTTTTCTTCTATGCTATACAACCTCCTACGCTCTATGGAAGCATACATTACATACATACATATATATATACACACATACACACGTAAGTGCGCAAAACTGCTGGTATGTTAATTAATTCACGTTGATTCTATTTTTCTTTTTTTTTCTGTACTGCAACTCTTTCATGACGCACCGAAAAAGAGGCGCGCACCCTTCTTTCGTCGTCGCCTTTTACTCTCCCTCGATAGCAGTAAATATGTAAATGTTAAATATAATTAATCGTAAGTATGATTAAACAGGCACATCGACTTGGTTACATATAATTTTTCTATTTTATTTTGTGTGTGTACGTGTGTGTCGAAAGAAAAATATCGGAAAAGCCAATTGGTATTGGTAGACGCGCTGCACAAATTTGATAATATGGAAACAAATAATTACTGTTAGAAAATTTGTCACGTAACAGTTATTTCCTAATAGCGATATCAACGTCTATATCCTATCGATCGAAAGTAGCAAATTAATAGCGTCATCGTTTAGTATTTATTCAAATGTTGTAAATTTCTTTTAGTCTTGCGATATTGTGGTAAAGTATTTAAAATTTCACTTAGTAACTTTCTCTCCCTCTCTCTCTTTCTCTACGTAGCATTCTTTTTATCCCTTCTATCTCTAGAACTCCCTTTCATTCAGTCACACTCGCGCTCTACATGTAAAATACTTCTAATTAAACTCTGGACATGGATCACTCTATTTAATCAACGTACCACAGTTAATATCTCGTACAAGTTATCATACAGCTATGTATACAAAATAATTAGCAAAACAATGCCTAAGCGTCATTCCATTAAAAAACACGAGATACGCGTCGACACGCGAAAAAATCTTTATCCTTTCCTTTTTTATCTTTTTAAGCGTTACGAGTAAACGAATGGTATGCGCGACCTAACATTTTACAGCTGCAAAAACATCGAAATCTAGGAAGAGAGCCATTCGCAATAAGTATGTACAATTCGATAATTTGGATATTCACGTGTATACGTGATGTAGCTCGTTCGACGTTATGAATACACTTTATAAATAGACATTTAAACATCGCTTTTGTTTATAATGTCGTGAAAAAGTGCAAGAAGGAAGAACATGATTCGACGAGGGGAACAGACAAGAAGAAATCACTAAAAACATGCACTCATCGACGCGTTCGTCACGTCAGAGTGTATAGAATGTATAACGAAGAAAGTGTATTTAATTTTGTGTGTGTGTGTGTGTATGTGTGTTTGTGTATTATTCGATATTGTAATACATGCAATGAAGACTTCTTTTCGATAGAAACTGTATTTGAAAATATGTTTTACGAATCAATTCTAATCCCTCCTGAAATTCAGTTTAGCACTTCAATGAGTCCTAATTGGCCATGTTTGGATCGCACTGATAAATTGTATACCACGGATTTGTGCAATGTACCCTACGTGTACATTTTTAAAGCTACAATCCTCGGTGAAATGCAAAACGTTGAAATACGATATAGAAAAAAGAATCGAACGTTAATGCAAACATGCACGATTCCGATGCGAATTTCATTCTTGAACAATCCTATCACGTAATTTCACCTAGAACGTGATATCTACAAAAATAGGTGAAATTGCGAACTGCTGGCAATCTTAAAATCAGCGATACCTAATTGCAATAGTAATAATAACCATTAGTAGTTACGGCGACGGGATGATATGATTCATTATGAGATTAAAATAAATAGTGAGGCTGCTGCGAGGAGACACAGCTTTTGTCAAATACAAATTACCGTGCACAATCAATCTCTCACCATTTGAATCGAAACGTAAGAGGTATTCGATTCTAAACTTAACTGCACGCATTATTTCCGTATATTAACGGTATCGTCTCAAGATTGTTTAGTTATTACGACACATAAACATACTTGAGACCGTTTGAAATAAACCTAGAACGATAAAACTCGAAACACATTTTTACAATTAATCGATATACCGCGTATAGATGCGTGTGTATATACGTACGTATGTCCGCGTACAATTGAAAAGTGTCCACGTTTTGAAAAGAGAACGTTTGAAACGTTCAAGCCTGTCGTTGCGCTCGACAACAAAAACCTTCTAGCCAGGTCGAAATTTAACCAGGCGAAAGCAATAAAATATCACCGCCGCCGAATGACCGTAAATTCTACCGAATCAAAGATAACTTTGTCACCGAGCATTAAAAACAATTGTGTATGATACGTGTTTGACGTATCATCGTAAAAGAAATGCATTTATATGCCCCATTTCAACGCGGTGGTTCAATAAATTACGTTTGCCGTTTTACGGTAAAGTAATACAGTTTTACCGAATCACCAACGTCGCCGGTTTTATCTGCTTAAATTGCGCATTAATTCCCTTGGTTTTTGCGAATTCGAGCGAAATCGCCTAATTAATCATCTTTTCGTAACGTCCTAGTAAAATTTTCTTTGGCGCGATAACTACATTCGCCCTCCCAAAAGTCAGGAAACGTTGAGTACGAAATACACGTGTACAGTATTTTCTGAAAAGTTGTCGGACGTCTTGAACGAGTAGATGAAATTTTCTCGCTGTTAAATAAAAATCGTGACAACACCTCTCAACAAATACTGTACCATATGCGTACATACTCTGTCACGTATACATATAACATGCGCCGTCTAAGCCGGACAAAATTGTACGTCGATCGGTGTACTATCAAAGTAATAGTTCAGAAAATAATACAAATATAACAAATCACCATAGGAAATGGTTCACTGAGGAAATAGTGTTGCGCGACGGAAAGCATAAAAAAGCCTTCTCTCTCTCTCTCTCTCTCTCTCTCTCTCTCTCTCTCTCTCTCTCTCGCCTTCTGTCGTCTTTTCTTTTGTACTTTTCATCGACATGCAACCTCGTTTCATCGAACGAAACGAAAAAGATAACTCTCCCAACACCAAATGGGTGTAATGAAACATCAACGAAACCATCACTTAATCCAATCCTCGTATCATGTTCGTTCGTCTGCTTTCGATACGTTCGAAACGATGAATATCTCGATTCGTTAACAGACGGGCAGTTTTGAAAGGAGCAATCGCTGCTTAGGACGGATTGTCAGAAAGTGAAATGTTGTAGAGCGACTTCTACGTTGGTTTGGGACTCGATCGAGTCACTTTCAGTCGTGAATTTTCTTGTAAGCCTTATAATGGGTTTTCATTGCGTATGGTCGATAGCAGCATCAGTATCGCGAAGGGCTCCCTTCGTTCGCTAGTAGAAAGTTCGCGAGGAATGAATGGATAGGATATATCTGGTGGGTTTTCTTTTTCCTTTCGTTCGATCATCTTTTTTATAATCTGGTAACGCGTAAATTTTCGTGTGCCATTTGATATCTTCCCTTTCTAGCTAGGCAAGAGATACAATTTACTCGGTGAACCACAAACCAGAAGGTTGATATTGATGTTTGGCCGGCGAAAGCGGGGCCAATCCGTATACGGCCGTTGGCTGCATATGTGCAGGCAGTGGGTGCGCTGCATGACTCGCGAGCAACGGTCTGGCCGAGCTGTGATGAGCTGGTGGTGGCAACGCTCGACTAGAATCATACAACGTTAATGGAGAGGAGCTGTAAAAAACGGGATAATCAACGTTAGAAACTGTCCATAAAGCTCTAAAAAAAAGAATAAATGAAACATTTTGATTTCTTATATGATAATTACTTCGTTCTACACGCACACAGTTTTATAAATAATAGCTAATACATTCGATTGGATCGAGTAATCGACAGGTGATTTCATTACTTTTTGTACACATTCAAGATACATTGATGCAAAATTTTCAATTACGAAATGTCAGCAAAATTCTCCAAGCAGACAGCTAACGTTCCATTTTGTACAGATTATACAGAGTGGACTATTTAAATGGGAATACTTTGATATAACTATGCGACAGAACAGATACAAAGATTTTTTTTTTTATATTTACAAGTAACGAAGGTAGTTCCCATTTAAAAAGACTACCCTACATAACAGGTCATTTTACAAGTAATGTCGTGCGTTACTTTGCTTTTGTGAATAATGATATCCATGTTACTTGAAAAAGCCTGGAGGAAATTAATTCAAGTATCCGAATTTGACATACGAAGTGCAAACGAATTATGAATTGTATGCAATGAACGCATAGTTGTTTTACGTTAACAGAAAGACGTCTCGTAAATACGGTCACAGAAAACATCGGTTAACGGATTATCAATTAATAAACGGCAGATGTTTTCGACGTATCGAAGCGGCATAGCACGACAACATTACTCATGGTTTGACCTGGTTATAACGATGTCGCATGCCAATTCAACGATTAAACAAATCAAAGGAACAACAACGTATGTCAGGGGCAAATCTACTATGAATAAAATGAAGCTTATTTTATCAAAAGGAAACTTTGAAAAAGAGTTCTTGAACAAATAATTTGATATTCTTGCAGACAGTGTAAACGTAGCTTTTGTCGGAAAAGAAAAGGAGTCTTTAAAGTAATTATCTACAGGCTCCGATAAGTCTAGATCCGCCACTGTTGTACGTGCACCTCAATAAAAAAAAAGGTTATCGATTATCCGATCGAGTTCCGTAGCGAACGGTATTCGTTGCATGCCATAAAAATGAAGTAGGATAATAATGGCATGGGAACACACCGTTCTAATCGTTACAACAATTACGAACGATCACAAGATAACATACTGAACTGATACTATGGCTAGAACGAAAATATAATAAATGGTACACACATGCATGCATCAACTAGGTGTCTAGGTACCCACCCGGGTGTGAATCCCTGATAGGTGGGCACTTGTTGCTGCTGGATAGCAGTAGGAGCCTGAGAAGGCGCGGCGGTAACGTACACCGGGGGTGGCACGGCATGGGCTCTTGAACGCACATGGGCGTACTCCTGGTACAGGGGTTGTCCCAGGTGCTGGGCACTTCCTATTACAGGTCCCCCTGCAGGACTTCTGCCCCCGCCACCGCCCCCAGGACTCAGGTGGGCCGGATGCCCATGATGACTGTGGGTATGACCCGGATGGGCTGCCGAACCCACCACCTGGCTCTGCCTACAAAACCCAAAACAAAATCCAACCCTTCGTTATGCAATTCCCATGCGTCCTTTACTTACTGTAAAAAATGTCACTCTTATAAGCAGAGGACTAGAGACCAAACCGACAGAATCAACAATTGTTTTCGATCCTTTTCCATTCGTTCGTTTTTAGTTCCTTTCTCGTGTACAATCGGATCTCGGCAAGTTCGTAAGTTTAGTCAAATTTCGTTTCACTTGCGAGGAGTTAAACATTGGTAACGACTCGTAATTAACGATTTCGACGATAGTGAAACCTATTGCACTCGTTTATCGTCTGAATTGTTACACTTCCGCGAACAGCAAAGATGTTAAATTGAACAACAAGATTATAAATGGAAATGAGTAAAGTTCTAATTCAAAAAGATTCGAGTTATGGAGGTCCGATTGTATTTTTTGATTTGGTTGTTGGAATGTATCATAAGAGAAATTCGCATGCTATTTACTTGCCCGGATGTTTACTCTGCTCGTCTTAACAGCGTACAAATACGAACTACCCAGTCATCGGTTTGGTCATTTCTCAATCAAAGAGAAAAACCTACATGCAATCTCGATAATTACGTGCACACGAATTCTCACTCGTGTCTAGAGATGTATCCTTTTCTCGTTAGGTTCTTTTCTAGATCGATGTGTCGTATATACTACATGCTTCGTGTGTATCGGTGCGAGCGTGTACGTGTATGTATACATGTTTAAGTGTGTCATGCGTTACGATCCTCACCTATACTGATGCACAGTGTTGGCGACCGCCCATTTTTGGTGGTCTCTCGAATGTGCAGCTGGCGGTTGAACGTACTCGTGCTTGTACTCGGCTCTCTTTCCAGGCCATGATACCCGCTTGTCCGTGCCGGTCGTGTACACGATGTGCTGTTCTTGAAGATGCGGATGCGCGCTACTCGTGGTCACATACTGCAAGAAGTAGTCATGCATGTCATAGGCATCATCCTAGAAAAACATTTCCAAAAGAAAGATTACTAAAACAGGGAAAGGGGGGGATATATAAACCGATAGGTGCGGACAGAATCATCGTCGTTGTTTTCTTCGATATGCCCGTAAGTCGATTGTTGTTATAAATAATACTAATAACGGAAAGAGAAAAGGAACGAAGATCGTACGGAATAGCGTAACGAAAAGAATACGACAAAGTCGAAAGCAAAATTTACATGAAAAACTAACCTGATAGGTCGGTGGCTCTTTGCAAGCTGGCGCGTGACACGGATGTGGAGCAAGGTACTCAACGCCGGGCTCCGGCTTCGTCGCAACATTTACCATATTGCACTCGGACTGTACTTTTGCCAATAATCGTTTCTTTTGCGATTGAGAAGAATATACGGAGCTGCTGCTGCAACGAACAATAGATTGACGTCACTTGACGCGTATATATCGACCGAGTATTACGACTTTAATCGGTCAAGCTGATTACCTGCTGACGTGGTGTTGTTGCTGAGGTTCATGTTTAATTAACTGCGTAGTCTGCTGATGCTGAGGATGCTGCGGTAAATGTTGGTATAGATGAGTATGCGCTCGGCCTGGACTAGCTTCACCGTCGCTGTCACCGACTGTCACGCAACTGATAATATTTTTTCGTTGCGCTCTCTGAGAGGAGCTGTGCGCTACAACGTGTCCGTTGGTATGGGACTGACTACTCGAATGAGTCTGTTGCATCGGTTGGACTACGCGTGGTGTCGACTGCGTACTGAAATTAAAAACGAATGCGTTTAGTTACGCATAGAATAGTTGATAATCCGATTTGAACTCGTGTAGCAGATTTCATCGAATATGTCAAAATGATATTAAACGTTAGAGCTGCAAGTCATGGTATTATTATCTTGTGGTCGAGACAATCGACACTCCAAGCTTCCGCGAGCGTAGCGTTAAGTTGCCTATATTTTCGAAACATGGTGCACGCGATTATTTATTCCTGGAAATTTTCAAATAACAACTCTTAACATCTTCAAGTGCGTTACTGCTCGAAACAACAATTGCACAAGATATGTGCAAACGTTGCGTGTTATGTCATGTTTTTAACGATTGTTAATCGATCGGTTGATAGAATATATCGTGTGCTTTGTAATTATTCAGTTACAGTAATATACCTTCGGATGACTTCCTCGCGGACTGGACGTCCATCGCCAGACAGGCGAGTTGCCAAATTTTGACAGGCTCCGCATTGACGATCTCCACAGCTGTCAATGATATTCATGCATAATTCCACTACTTTCTATTCTACTAATAACAATACTAGTAAGAGGACTAGAACAATCTGTATATGATACATCGAGTGATGATACTTCTATATCAACAAAGCTATATAAAACTTTTAACGATGCAAAATAACAGTACACTAATTATCAGTTAAGTGTAACAGCGGTTTCGTTACATCCATAACTCGAAGTTGTCTTCCGGTCAATTTTATGAGAATGGGCTATAGTTTCTTCTAACTACGTTCGAATGTTCTACTGTAAGAAGAATAACAAATGGTAACTTACCATTTACCAGGTGTTTCGTCCTCGCTATCACTGATCGTGATGACAGAGACTGCCGGCGATGGTGTATCGTGAATCGTGATGGTTTGTTGTCGACCAGATGTCACCTGATGATGCTCTGCGTTATGGCTGTTGCCGTGTTTGCCACTGTAATGATGCTGTTGCATTGTCTGTTGTTGCCAATGACCGCTCGTAGGAGAATGTCGTCTCATATTGCTCGGAGGTGTGCTCTCTTTTACCCTCTTTTTCACGGGACTCAATTGTTGCGTCTCTTTCTTATGTTCGTGCCTATGTTGAGACTGTTGGGGTACCGTCACGTGATGTTGATGATGTTTCGTTCCGGTACGTTTACCCCAACCTTGAGACGGATGTTCGACGAGGGCACTGGTGTTGTAAACCTCCGTGACAGGAAATACTGGCCGCTGATCCTTCCCCAAAACAAGGGAAATTAGTTAAAGGACTGTTCACTCGATACGGTAGAACAATTAATTCTATCAGGCCTACCTGCAAGATAGCAGAACTGTCTACGATAAGAGGTCTTCCCCAATCTCCAGCATCGCTCAGTAATGGCTGCTGTATGGCTGCATGTTGCGGTGGCAATTGCTGCCATGATGGTACAATAGCAGCCATTTGACGGCTTCCGCCGGGCCAAGAGGTTTGTACAGCGTTCTGCGTTGAGAAAAACGAAAATATTATTCGTTAACGTTTCGCAAGCAATCCGAAACTCGTTTCTATTTAAACTTACGTACCGTTAGCAACATTTGACGCCCAGTTTCTACCATAGAAACAGGTACCGCCGCGTATTGTTGTTGAGCAGCCGCAGCCGCCGCGGCGACAGCTTGCTGCGATATGATGGATGGTTGAATCTGCAGAGGTCCTTGTTGCGCTTGCGGAGGCTGTGGAGAACACGTAGCGTAATTAAACGATCGTAAAAGAATTTACGAGAACATGTTCGATCGCAATTAAAATTAATATCACATTTACTTGAGCAACAACTACGTGTTTCGCAGGACTTGGCATCGTCTGATAACTGGGTGGGTGACAAAGCAGACCAGGCACCAATTGATGTGGAAAGTCGTGTACTCCGTTTCGACCACTATTCGATCCGCTAGATGAGCTACTGTACTGAGTTGCGCGTCGGCTACTGTTACTGTATATTTGATACTAAAAGAAAGAATATAGTATGATAAAAAAAAATCGTGTAATAAACGGAAGTAACGATGTATATAACGAAAATAATGTATTTACTAACCAGATTGTCGTATCCTGTTTGAGCAGTACGATGCTCTCTGACTAATCGCTGCACTTGATTGGTCAACTGATTGTTAAAGGTGAAAGTAACAGCACTGCCATTTGTCGTTGGCACAAAGTTAGCTACCAATGATGTTGGCGGAGGTGGTTGAGGTGCTGGTGGAGCTTGATGATGCGCTGGACTTGCTGTAAAATCACCTGCTCGTCGGCAAACCTCCATCATTTGGACGGAAGCTTTGACATTGTTACAGTGTGCATAATCGACTAAATGAGCTAGAGTGACAAAAGCGTGGTTCAAAGCCTCTCCGGGTGTTATCCGACGCTCCTGTAAAATCAAGAATATATAGTGCACAAAGAATACCTTACATATATAAAAAATAAATAATCGGCAGCTTATCTCTGAGAGCGATTAAAGCATGAATTAGATATTACTACCTGGTCCATTGTGAGCATCCTCTTCAAGAGGTCAATGAACTCCCTCCTATCTGCTTTTTCAGCCAAAAGTTGACCACCTTCCAGATCGGTCGGAACGTTAACTTGACCAATATCATCGAGACAATTAAAAATATACTTTCTTGCTTCTTTAGATTTGATACCAGTTTCAGCTTCGTGCTCTTCAGGTGTTTTTAATCGCCAAAACGGATATGTACCTACAAACGATTCATCGTTAACCGATCATATTCTTTTGACACGACACGGCATTATTATCCTTATTAAACGATAGACTTACTGTCCATGTCTCTATAAAAGAATTTAGTTGTTTTGCTGGCATTGTTTAACATGTGTTCCGTTGGTAGGCCTTGCGTTTGACTTATGTATCGAATTTGATCGTATTCCGAGCTACCAGGGTATAAAGGCCATCCTAGAAACAATTCTGCAACTACACAGCCGAGCGACCACATATCTATCGCTTCACAATACGGAAGTCCAAGAATAATTTCAGGCGCACGGTAGTATCGCGATTGCAAATACGTGTTACAGACAGCTTTCGACACATGAGAGGCCGAACCAAAATCGATAACTTTCACACGGTAAGGCTGGCGTACTGGATCCACCAACATGATGTTCTCTGGTTTAAGATCCGCGTGAATCAACCCCAATTGCTACAAACGTACATTCGTATGATTATACAATTGATCGTTGCGAGTGACATATGATATAGTTATAATAAACACCCAACGGGACTCACCTTAAGTTTCAAAAGAGCAGTGAGTACTTGTTGGAGAATCGGTCTGATGTATTTGAGGGGTAGAGGTGAAAATTTATTTTGTTTCAGAAAATCATACAGATTCTGCTCTAGCATTTCAAAGACCAAGCAGGTGTGGGATTTATGCTGGAAACACTCGTAGGCGCGCACAAAATTGAACTCATCCGCATTTTCCTGACTAAGTCGAGACAGGATGGAGACCTGCGTGCAATCGAAATTGTATTTTAACGTGGCCGTGAATGATCGTCCTTCGATACAACGCTGTAGTCTTTTAACTTACCTCAATCTGACCTTGGCGCGCATACGATGGATGGTTCTTCAAAATTTTGATGGCCACTATCTCGTTGGTTCCCTTTTTCCAGCATTTCACGACCTGTCGAGAAACAAAATAATTCTTTAGACATCGACGAACAAAATCTATCGTACTCGTAGATTATGAGTACTTGAAAGGGAACGTACCTGTCCGAAAGTACCTCTGCCTAGAAATTCGAGTACTTCGTACTGATTGGTCATAGAATAAAGAACTTCGTGTTGAACCAATTGGTAATCTCCGTCGCCTTGGGGGTTGCTGCCACCGCCTCCATTGGCGGCGTTGGTTACTTGCTTGCTGTGCGCCGTCATGCCTGTCTGCTTATGTTGTTGTTGTTGTTGTTGCTGCTGCTGCTGCTGTTGTTGTTGCTGCTGCTGTTGTTGTTGTTGCAGCTGTTGTTGTTGATTATGGTGCTGCGACACTACAGTACTACCCACTGCGTTCGTCGCGTTGGCGGAATGGACTGCCAGACTGTCACCATTACCCTCCCTCGACCAAGTTTTTCTCTGTAGGAGGAACACACCTTATACAAAAATTTTTGGACGTTAAGACATGGTAGACAATAGTTTCCGTAGCTTTAGTTGGGGAGGGATGAATATAAGCAATGTGTACACAACGGAGTGAGCGTACAGGGTTTGGAACCCGACATTTAAGAGTTAGCCACAAAATACCCAGGCACACGCACACACGCACGCGAGTGCAAGCTCTGGTTCTGGAACACGTGTCCATCGAATCGATGCAATATCTTATCGGTCATGTGTGCGCGCGGTTGTTGAAATTCAATTGAACAGATGACTCGTATGCGTTGGCGACAGAAGCTGAAACATCGCCGCTAGTCGAAACGGAAGAGATGAGAAAGGGATAGGTATCTTCCATGATCAGACGAAAGAGCTTTATCCGAGATTATCGATCGTCGTCGTTTCGAAGAGAATCTTCGGCGCCGAGGCGTACCGAGCGTCGCGAATCGCTCGCCCGGCGGAAGTATATACGTCGCAATGACCGTCATGAAATATGAAATGGAAGCCTTGAAGCGTAATCGATACGCAACTACGCCACACGAAGAAGTTACCTGGCAAACGACCGTACATCCATGTCGGCGATACACCACTTCTGATCGACGAGCAACGAAACCGATGGCCTCCTCGGTTCGTATGTAATTACTTCCAAGGAATACCGAACGTAGACGCACGAGGTTGTTAAGTAAGGTAGACGAACATGGACAAAAGACGGAAGGTATTTTACGACTTTACAGAACGCAAGACTACCTTTGTGAAAGTTGATCCATCGAAAATGGCAATCCCTAGCTACCGGACGTCAATCATTGCCCTGCAGATACATTGTTTGTATCCATTGGGTTGTCCGGAAAGTTCATGTCGATTTTTGGTAGGTGGTACAGGTCTGAATATATTGGAATAGTTGAAAACAAATAACATGTATACGTCTCTTAAAAAGTGGAAAGGTTGCGTAACAAAATGGCACCTATGTAATTCAATAAATATATATTAAAATTCGAATGTGTTTTTGAATTTTTCTTAGAAATTGCCACGAACTTTCTGGACAACCTAATAGTTTAGAAAACTTAAAATTTGGACAGTCGGTACATTATAGACTTTGAAAGTAGAATTTCCATAAAAAGCGTCTATCTACTAAAGCCAAACCAGAGCAACGGATAAACAGCGTAAAATGAAACTGCCGTATCCGCTCGAGGAAGTAAAAAGCAGGCACTATTTTCAGTAAACAGAATGTCGTGCTGCGACTAGTCGCGGAAACGAGCGACACGAACGTTGAGAAACACGCGGCGACAAACGCAGCAGAGGATGATGAGGTTCGTTATCGCCCAAACAGCTAAATGAAATCTTGAAATGTACAATCGTGGGGAATCCAACTGTGTCCGTTGTTAGTCGATTGGAATAGGAGCAATTTACGAAGAATCGTCTACAGACGAACGACACAGCGGAGATGGCACAAGACATTTGAAAATATAGTCCCTAGGATTTAAAGGTCAACGTATCCCGACGTAAGAATCCAGCTTGTGAAAGCCTCGAGCATCTTAATGCGTTTAGCGTCGATTCGTTCGGCGTTTCCGTCGAAATACGTGGAACCTGTGGTATCGTTATCGACGCCACGGAAGGAAGTCTCTGTCCACTTGTTTTTCAACGCTAGACGAAACAGGGCTTCGCGGCGTTAACGCTTATTTACAGTAGAAATGGACAAAACTTTTATTCGACCGATAGATGACGAACGATGAAAACGCCAGAATTTTTAAAAGACAATGAATTCGCAAAATTTACACGTATGATCTGTTCTATTCCAAATCAAATCGCAGGTTTTTTTTTTTTTTTAACGAATAACATATCGAAAGTTGTGCATCTTCCATTCGTTATTCGAAATTTGCACGTAGATAAGAGTTTCGTCCATGTCTGATTTACAGCCGTTTCGAGCGGTCCCATCGAGCGTGTATCGATAATCCGAGGCACATATTCGCGAATACATTATCGACCGCGATTACGAACTTCTAATCGCGAGCGAGGCAATCTCAAACATCCATCTCGATTAGATGGGCTGTGCAGCGTTAACGTCGGTGGCCCCCTGGACGGAGAGGGACGCGGCGGTCCGAGACTTTCCTCGACACGATCACGATCACGATCACGATCACGATCGCAACGGGTCGGGATAGAAAAGAGAGTTTTATCGGCGCGATGAGATCGCGGGAAGCGGCACCAACCTTCTGGCTACAGCGTTGGTACGTGTCTAAGAGCTTGATCGTCGAGGCTCGTACCAGAGTCTGTTGGTTCGGGCTACTCTTCTGCAGCGCATTATTGTTGTGCAGCGAGCTAAACGCGGTATTAGCACCGTTCACGGAGTACCGTTGCTGCAGCCCGGTATTGTCTAATTGGTAGTCGCCGGTCGATTGAACCAATGCGTGCTGGATCACCGGCTGACTCACGTTGTACTCCAACTTGCGTTTTTTACTGTGGTGGTGAACGGTGTTGTTACTGCTGCTGCTGCTGCTGCTGCTGCTGCCGTTGACGCTACTCGTCTGCTGTGTTTGGATGAACATGTCACACATTCCCTGCAATTACAAACGGACACAACGCTTATTACTCGACCGTTTCGTTCGTCGCTTTGTTCAAGCGAGAGCTGCTGGAAAGGACAACAGTTTTCAACGTCTCGACAAATCCTTCGAGATACGTTTAAATATCGCTAAACGAAATTATAACATATTAAAATTTCGCCAAGACCCAAAACGTTATACCGTTGGTAGCGCGCGATTTTACGTGGAACGAATCGCCTACGTCTCTCATTGTCGCACCGATATCCATTAACACGTTGATCGCCACGTCACCCGTATATGAGTGACGATGCTTTTCATTGAAAAATTAAAAAAAAAATAACTCCAAAAGTTAAGCATCAAAGTAAATCTATTTAAATAAAATTCATGAATATTGATGAAGATACAAAAACAAATACCACGATAAATATTTGATTATGCAGTCTCCAATAGTCTAAATAATATTTAGTCCCAGCAGAAATTTTCGAGAATATGCGTGTGGCAGTCAACGTGTTAAAAACAAATATACATTGCAATATACTCGATCCCATCGCTGCTTTCATTTCATACCGTCGAACTGTGAGCATCCAAGCCATCAGGTCAAAGCGGTAAGAGGAAGAAAAGGTGCCTTCTCGACAGAGCAACTGGCGGGAGGACTCTCAAGTCGATTCTTTTCCCGACTCCACATAGCCCGATCGTTGGATGCACGTTCGAACCCGAATCTTTTGTTGTTATGTTCGCCGCGGCACTAGTTTTCGAATTTCGAGTCTTGAGAAATGAAGATATTCGATAGTTTTACGTTGTTTTGAAACCGACGCGAATCAATTTTTCCATAGACGAGGATATTTTTTTACCGCGAGATGTTCGCACGAACAGTAGTGTCGACGGCCGAGACGAGAATTGCGAACAGAAGAGGGGGACACGCGACCATCGTGTTGTTCTGAATTAGGCGAACCGAGAGACCACAGCCAGCTATTGCCGCATACGATATATAAAAAGTACACGCTAAGAGACGACGATGACTATGAATATTTTCGTCTCCTTCGCGTACGCGTGTCTTTGTATGGTTCTACGGAGATTCGGGCCAGCGACTCTAAAAAACGGAGTACTGGTCGAGCATTCGAAACACAAACCGAGCGAAACTCGATGAATCCCGATCGTTCGAACGATACATTTTCCCTGCCGTGCTACTCGAAATATTTCGGTACTCGTCCCTCGGTTCGAAATACGTATTCGAGCCGGTTTTATCTCACTGGGCTCTCTACTCAAAAGGCATCTACCGAAAATGTATCGGGTTTCCGCGCGTTGGCGGTCGAAATAGTCGCGACAGAGAAAGATACATTTTCACGTTACGATTGCCTTTGTAACCATTGCGCACAACTGACATTTGGATAGCTAATCGTACACGACACGTACGGACATAAATGTACTACTTGATTACAAAGAGCAGGGCTAAACGTTTATTTATTTTCGATTTGTCGATGTTTCGGTCAATTACGTATGCATACCTTTGGTGCAGAATGATGATATACAAAATAGATTCGTGAAGCCATACTCTTGTAAGTTATGTAAGTAGTTACGAGGAACATTAGGTTCCGTAATCGGATGGCGCATGGATACAAACGTAACAATACGATTAAACGTATTAATTGCCAATTATTAACCTTATTCGCCGACTACTCGGTAATCGATCATGGATAACATTTTGCGCAACGGTGATCGAAGCCGCCTATCGAACGGGCCCGCTTCGTTGCACAAAATTGGTCCTAGCGGGACGGAAACTTCAGCTACTTTCGAAAGACAACGGTATTCTCCTTCTTATCCTGAGAAGATCTAATCTCCGAGAGGTTTAGAAAGGCGACGCCTGGTTTACGAAATTAAACTACCGATAAGATAACACGCGCGTTTTTTCTCTTATCGATCGCGAAAAAACAATGCTCGTGTGCGCAAAATTCGCGAGTTTGTCCATCGACGCTCCCTAGCCTTCGGACAACAAAAACGCGACAAAATATCCAGACTAGCCGCGTGATCGATTCGTAGCGACGAGTGTTTTGGAAACTTTCGATCGCCGATTCGGTTCCGCCCCCACGATTTATGTATCACGCGTCCTCTTTTTCTCTTTGTTTTCCTTCGTCCTGTCTTCGTATATCCGCGTGCACGACGTGCTCTAATTGCAGTGCTGCTTGTCAGAAATAGTGTTGCTTGGTATTATAACGATCTACGGTACCGCGAAGTACAGTTACGTTTATGCTAACCGTCTCGACGCCTGGCGAGAGAGAGAGAGAGAGAGAGAGAGAGGGTTCTGCTAAACTGATACACGCAGATAACCTGATATGGTTCTAATGGATGCCAAATTGCTTCGAGAAGTGGAGAGATTGGTTGAGAAGCGGGCCAGGTCAACCAGCCGAGGAATTCGCGTCGAAATTCACAAATTTGCGATTCGTTTAAGTAAAAATTGTTCACTTTCATCCTCGTGCTCCTTTACATCTAGTGACGTTGATCGAGGCCGTCGACGGAAAAGTGCTCGACGTCTTTCGAACGCAGAACCATCCGCGATACGTAACGTCTTAATAAAAGGAGCAACTTTACGTAACAGTCCTGCGCTTGACACAATGGATGTAAGTTTCAGTTTACTCGCAACCGGTCAACCTTTATCGCGTCGTGTCTTTCTTCGTTCTGGAACGAACGAAAAATTACGTACGATGTCAATCGTGCGCGTTAGCAAACGGAATCATCGAACGCCAGGCTCGCTCGTGTACCCTTGATGATAAGCATCCACGAATCAACGAGCAAACTTTACAATGCAAAAAAAGTCGCGTCGGTCGCTGACGTGCGACTGCTCGATCTAGACTTATCTCCGAAAGCAACTCGTCCGATAGCTTACAAAGTCAGGAATAACGACACGGCTGGGTCCCGTGTAGCAAACAATGCGTTGCATCGCGTCTGTTGTCGTTTCAAAGTTTCGAGCTTTCCAGTCAAGAGTATTTGCTCTTACACGAGAAAGATAGTTGAGAAATTTGTACGGTTTGTAATCAAGTTTATGACTCGGTAACGCTAATAGCTTTAAATAAACTCGATAGTAGAGCCGATTGGGTAATCTTTAGCAACAACGCTTCGGTATTAATCATTATTGATTATACAAACGAAGTTTTGGCCATAGATGAGTATACATTGGTAACTATACACACGTATATTTGACTACCATATTCTTCAGTTTATCCAACATGTACTTTGTTACGCGAAATTCTTTACGATCGCTTGCAGAACGCCGTACTTTTCGATAACAAAAGCGTTGTTTATATAACAAAATAACGATAACGCCAGGAACGTTAGTACAAATACATCTGCTAGTCGAACTCATCGGTAACGCTTGTCCAACAGTTCTTGCTGTACACGTGACGCTATTAATGGTTTGAACAATCTGTTTAAACTAATTATGCACACATCGATCAACTGTCGAATAATTGAAAACTGTTCGACAAACGAGTAATGCCTAAGACAGGATCTGCTAGATAACCGTTACCGATGAGCTCCCCAAAGACATTACTTATTATACAAAACTTTTCCCGACTCTATCGTATTTCTGCTGACAGCGATCCTAGATTTTCTAGCAGAAACGATTGGCGAACCTCGTCCATCTACCATCCACTACGTCGTTTCTGCTGTTCGTCTGTAAATAATCTGAACACGGCTTTTTACGGTCAGTTTCGCGAATGACGATTCGCCACTGTGACTTTCTAAACACGGACAGCTATTGTTTTCATTGCGATAGGAGAGCCTCGTTGCTCGCACCGTCCGATGAGTCATTGGACGTGGTTGCGCGAAGGAAGCAACGAAAGTTCGCCCGGCGAGCTTGCGTTTACGATCCACGGCCGCCTTCGCACGCCTGTATAGTTGCACGCGAAAGACCTATGAGTCAAGCAGATTGCTAGATAAACTGGGAAACCCGAAAGTGACCGCGTGAAAAAAATTGATTTGTAAAAAGTGTGGCGAGAGAAAACAACGAGTCGTCAATGAATCACGAAGAAACTGCACGACCTAGAGTCTGTAGGTCCTAGATGACTCGTCTTCGACGAGAAAGATACGAATTGGTCCCTTGAGAACGCGAATGGACGAAAACGGTACACCGGGCACTCCTGGGGTTAAACTCCTCTCGATCCTACAGCCAGTTTGCACTTTGCTACCATGTGCCAAATGCATGACTCTGCGAAGAGTAAATCTACAGCAAAACAAGATAAAAACGTCTTACGGACATAGGTCGCCCGAGATTTAATTTCCAAGTGGAGAGAAATTAAAGCAAACGGTCAAAGCGTCGTACGTAACGATTTCATTTGCTAAGGTTTAGTTTGAAATCTTTTCTTTACGAGAGGATATAAAGAAAATGTATTTTCCGTGTCTAATCGCGTTACACAGTTTCCATTCTCTAGTTCGAATAACTTAAAAAAGGTTCCGAACGCGTCTGTTGTTGTAAATTAAACGTCTAATATCGCGATCATAAACGTCTACTGTTACGTCCTGTATTTATAACTCGTAATCGCGCGCACAAAAGTTCACCGACAAATTGAATAATCACGCATTAGGCTTCGTTTGTATCATGCCGCATAAAACGGCAATGCTAATTTGAGGAGCAAGACGATGTTCGTAAGCCCGGGTAATGACTTTCCAGCGAATTTCTGTACCATGTACGGAGCTAACGCGACTATTTGTTCCCAGCTGGACTACGAAGAGTTTCTAAACTGAAACTGGGATTATTCGAATACTACGAATAAACTTTGAATATTTCGGTACTCGAATATCGTTACTTCGAGTGAATCCTTTCCGGTGCATTGCAAACAATTATCTCAAATCGGTAATACGAAACTATCATTGTGTCGAGGTCTAATTATAATTTTTGCATAAATCTAGCATCGTGTAAATAAATAACAGAGCACGTGGCGATACGTCGTTGCTCAACATTATATAAGAGGACGTTTTCGAGTAACGTTTTTCGTAGAAACTCGCGCCGATCGATTGTCGAGATTATATCGCGCAATAAAATATATTACAGGTTTCGTTCGCTCGCTACCAGTAAAATTCCGCTCTCTTCGCGACGATGCAGTAACAACAAAAGATAAAGTCGCATCGGTTACGGAGTTTTCCAATTAACGCTTTGCGAATACTGACCGTACCCTTTTAGGCTATACTTCTACTGCGCTGTAACGCGTGAAACGTACACGCGAATAAACACATCTGACTTGCTGCAGAACGAGACTCTATTTTTACAGTCTTTATTGTAATCGGATTACTAAAGTCTTATAAAAACGAAAAATAGTCGCCGGCATACTCGCAAGATAGTTTCACAATAACAACGATCCACGGTGGGTAAACGATGAATGGACCGGTAATTGGATAGCAGGAGAACCATGGCGAAGTTTTCACCATGAGCAGAACTATTCTGCGACGGAAGCACGGTTTGTCGTGCCCAGCTTATATTCCTCAAATGGAACGCTGCGAAGCGTGTCAAGTTTCGGCGGACGAAAAATTTTCGTGAACGTAACACGGACCGTTTATTCCTGACCAAGAATGCTGCTTGTTCGTGACTGCGTGGAATACAAAGTATGCACAACGTGGACAGAAATTTTCCTTTTCCGTTCTTCGATCTTGGGTAACGTACACTACACGGCGGCGGCCATATACTGTAACAAGTGCAAATAAGTTATATCGGTGTTTGTAAATGATTTTAAATTCGCACATTCGTAACGCGAATACTCGAAATATTCGATAACTGTTTTACGAAATCAAACTTTATTCTGTCCGATAACTTCTCAATCGTGCCGTTAACGCGAATCCTCAGACGCAGAGCACTAATTAGAAAACGATAATCAGACGCGAAAATATAGAGCATCTATCGATTGTTCTTCGAAGGAGGAAGGGAAAATGGATGAAACTAATTGGATTTTGAATCGGAGTTCCGCGAGAAAACGACAACTACTCGTACGTTACTTTTTCTCTTTCTCGAAATTGCTTTTCCTCGTCCTGTCAAAAGGAAATAATTTCGAACGTCGTTTTTGCGTTGAGTAAACGACGCAAAATCTTGCCTTTCGTGCACTCGAAACTTGGCTATATGACAACAAATTATTTATGATTTTATTGATAACACACATATATATATATGTGTGTGTGTGTGTGTGTGTGTGTGTGTGTGTATGTATATTATTCCAAATATACGTCTTCCTTGTTTGTTGTTGAATAAAATTCTGTTCAAGAGAAAACGACGCGAACTTGTGCATCGACACAATGGAATTGCTACTTTGAGGCAAGGCTTTTCCGTTTGTCATGGAACTTGTTTGCAACGTTCGATCCGGTGACGGGGACGTTTCTCGTCTCGAGACGGTAACGAAATATCGTTCGTAACCATGGGACTATATTTTAGCGACAACAGATATAATAAACCGAATTGTGTCGTCGCTCCAGCAAAAGTACCGAACGCTACACCGCGGTGCCTGTACTCTGTAAAAATTGTTTTATTTTCGAACGAAACGTCCCACTAAATGCCGAGTGTGTGAAATTCAGGGCATGTTTGGTTGCATTGGTAAATGGTCAAGTACGTCAAGGCGTGCTGCGAAACGAATACGTTGACGCGCTGGATGGAAAGTTTCCACGCGAGCTTACGCGCGTCAAGCGTCGACGAAGCTAACGAAATCAACAATAGTCCCGTCGATAGGAAGTACGGCGCACACTATACGTATAGCTGACAATCGACGTGTAATATCGTCTGACAGGTTAAAATCGCGATCGAGAAAAGTTTCTACCCAGGCCAGTTCCAGCTGGCGTATTTGGACATAGTTTGACCGTCGCATAATTCCTATCCGTCGGTTGCGTCTTCGGACGCAGACATTTTTCGCTCCGTCGGCAGAATTTCACCGTCTTACCGAAATGTTCGTGGCGCAACGTATTTCGTCGAACATTGTTGTCACTCGATGCGAAGCAGAGATGGATAAAATTGTTATCTATTAGGTTGTCCCGAAAGTTTCTTTCGCGAGTTGCACTCGATTATTTTACGTGGTCGTGTTTATATAACTAGACAATCTAATTTCATAGATATTCTTGTTGTAACAGTAATGGAGCAAAATGAATCGTGCACAATTCAGTAATGTAACATAAAACATAAAATATTGTGCATGTATTACTTATTAATATAAGCGAAAGAAACTTTTGGGACAACCAAATAGTTAAAAGTTATAGTGAATCTAAAAAAACATATTTTAGTCACCTATCGTTCGAATCAAAATTTGTCCATCTCTAACGCAGAGTACACGGAGATTCGCCCACGTAACGATTGGAAAAGTTCACGTTTTATGATGAAAGTTGTTTATTACGTTTCGAATCTACATGTACGTACACATCGACGGTCGTCGATGAAAGCGCAGATCGACGGGAGCATGGCTAGCACGTATCTGCTACGCGCCACGGTACGTAGAGCGACACATTTTGGGGTTATGTTCACCGTTTGCAGACTTTCGGCAACAGATGTTCGCGTTACGATTGCATCACTCGGACGATTGTATAGTCGTTCATTCGAACGATGAGACGATAGTAATCTCGAAAGAGAACCGTAGGCTGACAAGCTGCCGTCGGGAAAGAAATAACGAGAAGAAACTACGGCACGACGGAGCGCCTCGGTCCGACAACTTTCATCGGACGAGAGCTCCGAGATCGGCCGCGTTGCCCAGAAGATATTCACCAGGACAGAGCTTTGACTTGTTTACGTTTTTCACATAAGGAACACGGGTACGTCGATGTACGTGTAGATGGTAACGTGCGAGATGGTAGAGTCCACGTATGCTCTGCTAATTCGGGAACGCGTAAGGCAACGCGAGCCGAATTACGTTCGGCGACCTGTCAACCGTAAGATCCTCGAGAAAATATCCAAAAAGCGTCGTCTGCGCGTATACGAGCGAAGGGGATGGAAACACGATCAGTGTCGCGTAAAACCAGCGAGAACGGAAACAAAGCAACGGATAAAATTGGAGTTGTAAAAAATGAACATACCTCTCGCTTCTTGGCCAATGTCTCTCTCTTCAGGGACGGGCCCGATGTTCACGTAGCAGCATGTTCCGTTTATCCCCGGGTTGGCTTTTCCCCGTTTGGTTTGTCGGCCTCTCGTTAGCGACACACAGCCATCTTGCGTAGTGGCTGGCCTGGCTCAGTCGCTTTCGGTACGATGGCCTCCGTGCGAGAGACGAAGAGGTGGATAGTCGCGGTGAATAGAGGGGTAAGAGCGAGAGAAAGAGGGAACGGACGACGGAATAGGAGCGAAAGAGAGAGCGTGAAACCACGGCCCCGGCGAAGTGCGTGTCCCACCAATACACGCGCGCATACACACCGAAGTAGCACCAGCAACGCCACACCGCCGCCACCGCCACCACCACCACCGCCACGACCGCCACTGCACCTCTCTCACAGTTTTCGCCACTTTTTCGCACGGCCCTCGCCCACCTTCGGCACGTACATATTCCGTGGAGCAGCCAGCGTTTGCATCCAGGACACCTTCGTTTCGCAACGGTTTCTCCCGCACTGGGTAAATACGACGATCCGTTATTTACCCGTTCGACGATGTCTTCCGTCGTTGATCACTCGCGCGATCATACCTTCTTCTCCTTTCCTTGCTCGTTTCGTGCTAGCGCTGCTGCTCCCGTTACCGCTAATCCACTACTGACCGTCGTACGTCGTACACTCGTACCTCGTACCTGCCGCACCAGCACGCACGACGGCGATCGGGGGATCGCTCGGGCTTGACTGCCGCACGACCGTTCCGCTTCGGCCATCTTCGGAACATCTCGGCGATTTACGCTCACTTTCCGCACAGGGCCGACTACATCGTGGGCGCATCAAGCGCCCGTACCCGTTCCCTCCCGGAATGACTCATGTGTGCCAGACACTGACGTATACGCGATGTCGTCGCAGCCTGTTTATCGTACGAATCTACGGTCCATACGGCGCCTGGACGCTGGAAAAATTCTCACAATTTTACCGTCTAAATTTTCGAGGAAACTTTTCTTGGACTTTAGATTCGTTCGATTCGTCGAGAGTTTTCTACTCGTGAATTTCCACGGTACGCGAAACTCACGATAATTACGTAAGCAAATATCATCGTTGGTCGATGACAGTTTCTTTTTTTTTTCTATGAGATAACTGTTATTAGCTGATGTTCAATGAATAACTGGACGAATTTTTGTTGTCGTTGAAGGAAGTCGGTGGGTACACGGGACGGGCACAAAACATATTCGAACGCCAATAGTTAATTTTCCAAACTTAAGCTGTACCGGTTGAAATAAGCGTTTCGCGCAATCGTTTTCACCATCGATTTCTCGTTGTACCGCTTTACCGCGATACCCCGGTTTCCGACATGGAGAAAAAAAAAAGACAAGGCAACGGTATACGGGTGGTCGAACCAGCGATTTGTAACCATCGCGGTGTGACCACGGAAACGAAGTAAAACTCCAAACGATCTAAGCACTTTCACGGCCGTGACGCGTTTGATTACCAATGGGAGAGAACACGCGCTACGATTAATCGTTAAATTTAATCCGGCAGCGAAACCCTTTGTTCGCGTCGAACTTGGATCGTTCTCCGCCGCTATTTCCAGTGAAAAATAATTCATCGATGAAACGAAGACGAAAGCATTTCATCGAACTTGAACGTTGAAGCGTTCGAAGACGATTTCACCTTTTTACGCAGCCTTGCGACGATTTTGCGCACGATCGAACGAGGGACGCGTTCCATGGATCGAGAGAGCGCGCGCGTGAGAGAGAGAGAGAGAGAGAGAGAGAGAGAGAGAGAGAGAGAGAGAG